GCTGTGCCACAGCGCCCGCCCCACCCCTGCTGGGTGGCTGTGTGGGCTGCTTGTCTCTCCCTGCCCTTGGGTGCACCTGCCCGACCCACGCCTCCCCTCCTTGGGTGCACCTGCCTGCCCCGCCCCTCCCCCCATTGGGTGTACCTGCCCGTCCCACCCCTCCACCCTGAGAGGGGAGGGGGGGAGCCAGAGCAGGTCCTCAGGGCACTCACAGGCATGAGAAGGAGCCATGGCCTGACCTTGCCTCTCAGCCCGGTGGCGATGGCAGTGGCGGTGGATGGGGGCAGTGGGAACAAAGGCCCACAGGCGTGAAGGCGCATGGCTTTTGCTCTCAGCTGCCTTCTTTTCCTTCAAGTTGACACACCACACGGTCACAGGTACCGCCTGTCCCATCCCCTTCCGGTCCTGGCACGATGCTGAGCCCTCACCTCCATCAACCTTCTACATCTCCCCCAAAGCCACTCGGCCCCTCCCGTGAGCCCTCACGGCCCGACTAACACTCCAGGACCTCAGGGGGTCCCGGCTGCTCCACTTCCAGTCCAGCTCCCTGCGAATTCACAGGGGCAGCAGGAGACGGGCCCCTGCCACCCACATGGGAGCCCCGGTGGAGCTCCAGGCTCCTGGCGGCGGCCTGACCCAGGGACGTCGTGGGCCTCACCAGCCACACCTTGCTAAGCTGCCATCTCTCCCTAGCCCCTGCTCTTCCCCTCCTTAGCAACTGTATTTGTTTCTGGTCGCTGTTGTAACAAATAACCTTAAACTGAGTGGCTTCAGTAGGCCAGCTGTAGCCTCTGTAGGCCAGCTCCTCCGACTCCAGTGACCACTGCAGGCTCCTGGCCCAGGGGTCCCCGCAATGGACAACGCCAATCTGCATCAGACATCAGCCTGGGCCTGCCTAGGCCACACTGCGGCGTCACCTCCTCCTGGAAGCCCTCAAGGAGAATCTGTCTCCACAGCCGCTCCACTCCCAGGGGCCGCAGCCTCCTTCCTGACGGTCTCACCTCCCCCTCCACAGCCAGCAGCAGCAGGCCACGTCCCCCCCACGCTGCCGTCTTCCTGTTCTCCCCGTGGTTGAGGACCCGTGGTCACAGGCCTGTCCCCATCATGCAGGTCAGCTGTCCTCGAATCCTTCTGCAAACGGAGTTCCCCTTCCCCCGCAATGTGCTGTACTCACACGTGCTGGGGGCGGGCCGCGGACACCTCTGAGGCCCATTCCTCGCTTACCACGGTAATCGTCAGTCATTCTCTCCTGGTTCACTTCCTCTAGTCTGGCTGGTGGAGCCCAGGAGGGCAGAGACACAGTTCCCAGCGCAGAGCTGCCACACAGCCGGCGCGCACAAGTGGTAACGTCACGCCTCTGTTATGCGGCTCAAAACTGTGGCTCAGACAGGCGGAGCGACACCCCGCTCACAGAGGCGCGGGCCGGGCTGCACTGTCCTAACGGCAGCCCAGTGTCAGGGGCTTCCGAGAACGCGGGCTGACTTCACCTCTCCTCCCTCGTCCCCCAGCCCCCAGCCTCCCTCCCAGGAACATGGCTGCTCCCACAGCAGGCGGGAGAGGAGCCCACAGCCCAGCACACACAGGCTCAGAGCACCTGCTGTCTCCTCTCCTCACTTTCTTGGGGTCAAGCAGGACACCTGAGTCCACTGCTCAGGGTCTGTGTCAGTGCGCTAGGGCTGCTTTGCAAACCTCCCCAGCCCGGGGGCCTTGCACAACACAAATTAATGTTCTCACGGTTCCAGAGGCTGGAAGTCCCAAGTTCAAGGTGTTAGCAGGGCTGATCTCTCCTTGGCCGGTGGACGGCGGTGGGGCTGCATTTTCTGTGTACAAACGCATCCCTGGGGCTTGTCCTCGTCTTGTAAGGACACCAGTCCGCTGGGTTAGAGCCCCGTCCAATGACCTCATCTAACCTCAGCCACCTTTTAAAGACCATGTCTCCAAACCTAGTCCCACCAGGTCTGAGTCTGTCTCCCCCACCTCCTTAAACACAGTTCAGCAACACTGAAGACGCAAACAGAGAGGGAGAGGGAGAGGGAGAGGGAGAGGGAGAGGGAGAGGGAGAGGGAGAGGGAGAGGGAGAGGGAGAGGGAGAGGGAGAGGGAGAGGGAGAGGGAGAGGGAGAGGGAGCCTCTGTAGGCCAGCTCCTCTAACTCCAGTGACCACTGCAGGCTCCTGGCCCAGGGGTCCCCGCAATGGACTGGGAGCTAAGGGAGGGAGAGAGGCTCTGCCTACTCATCTGGGTGTCCTGTGTGTTGGCTGGGCGGTGGCCCACGCCTTGTATGCACTAAGCCTTCCTCAAACAAACCCTCGGTGATTACCGTGTGACAGTCGCCGGCACCTGGCAGCCACTCTGAGCCTGAGTAGTCAGGTCACCGAGGAGAGTGGAGCTCAGAGAGGTTGAATTACTTGCCCAGGACACACAGCAAGTGAGAGGGTCCAGCCCCAGGCATATCTGCCCCCCACCCCCAGAGCCCGTGCGCGGTGCTCCGGGCTACCCTCTGCTCTTGGGAGACCCTCAGCTCCAGCATGAGACTCCCTCTCTGACATCCCAGCCTTGTCCCTGGCCTCCCTGCTCCTCCACTCGAAGTCCCCGGAATTCCCAGACCTTCCTGCTTCTGTAGGCCCTGCTGTGTCTTCTCTCGCCTTCTGTGCTTGGGTGGTTACAGCTCGGAGACGACCGTTCACGCCACACCCAATAGGAGGGCTGCGATCCAACATGGAGGATGGCAGGTGCAGGTGAGGGCGCAGGGGAGCTGTGTCACACCCTGCTGGTGTGAGCGGACAGTGGGGCAGTCGCTGTGGGAAGCGCTGGCCACTCCTCAAAAGGTGCACACACAACGACCAGGTGAGCCAGCAAATCCACTCCCGGACAGAGGCCCAAGGGAGCCGAGAGCAGGGACTCGGATCCGTGTATGCCCAGGCAACGATGAACAGACACGTGGCCGACATAACTGCGTTCTGTGTAGTAAACAGCCTGGCACAGCGGGACCAATATAGGATCCCACTTAGAGACAGGCCCTAGGTGAGACTCATGCAGACAGGAAGTGGAGCAGAGGACCCCGGGCTGGGGGTGGAGGTGGGGGACTTACTGTCGAGCAGTCGCCACAGTGTGCGGGTGGACAGTTTCTGGCGATGGGTGCCCAACGGAGCAAGTGTTCCCAACGCCACCGCACTGTCCACTGAGCATGGGCAGTGGGCGTTATCCTCTGGCTGGGTCGCATCGGGGGTCTCTTCAGCAGCCACAGGGGATGGGGTAGCACCATGCACCGCTCCCTTCTTGGCTACTCTGTTGGCTGGGAGCTCCCTGGGGCAGGCGTGGGCACAGACAGGCTGTTCCTCTGTGCGTCAATGGCTGACACTTGTCCTGCACACACACAGGCTGCTTCTGGGAGGCAGCAGCTCTGTCGGGGAGCTCCCTGGAGCGTTGGGCAGGGAGTCAGGACGGCACCTCTGTTCCTCCAAGATTCAGCTCTGAGCCAGGCTGGAAAAGTGACCACAAGTTCATGGGCGGCACTGGAAGCATCGGCCTGTCTCTGAGCTGGAAACAGAGGGTTGGGTCCCGAGCCAGGGCCGCAGACTGAGTGGTCAGCGCCACGTGCAGCTGCGAAGCCGCAGTCCATGGGGACAAAGGCAGGCACCGCCACTGAACTTGGAGAGAGGAGGGAAACGAGGGGCCCTCAGCAGGCCAGAGGAGGGAGGAGGGCGACCTCACTGTAATGGAGGCTGACGGAAGTGGGGAAACACGCTAAGTGCAGGCAGTGGGCAGCTGGCCTTGGGCCTCGAGCCCCCTGGAGCGGGAACGGAGACCTCAGCCCTTTGCCCTGACCCTGGGCTTGCCAGGGCCCTCACACACAGCAGGGGCCGCCAGGGCTCCCACACAGAGAACCCCTGTGTAAATCCGGTGGCTTACTCTGCAGGGGGTGAGTGCACCTGCTGCCTGCTTTGCCTGACAAATGTCCCACGCACAGCTTACGTGTCACTTCCTCCAGGAAGCCCCAGCCTGCCACCCCCCCAGTTCTAACCCCTCTGTGCAGTGAGCGCTCCGGCCACATTACGTACTCCAAGAAATGAGTTGTTCAGGGTACGGTGCTGTGCGGCAGCGGGTTAAGCTACCTTCTGCAACGCCAGCATCCCATATAGGCACGCGTTTGAGTCCCGGCTGCTCCACCCAATCCAGCTCCCTGCTGATGCACCTGGGGAAGCAGGGGAGGCTGGCCCGGGTGCTTGGGCCCCTGCACCCACGTGGGAGACCCTGATGAGGCTCTTGGCTCCAAGGCCCAGCCCAGGCTGCTGTGGCCATTTGGGGAGTGAACCAGCGGATAAGAGATCTGTCTCTTCCTGTAACTCTGCCTTTCAAATAAATTAAAAATAAATCTCTGAGATTAGAAAGGAAAAGAAGTGAGTAATCCGGAAAATCTGGGTCAGCCCAGAGGAGGGGACGCCGAGGGGAGGCACAGTGGTCTCACCCTGCAGGCGCCAGATGCTTACAAGACACCGCCCTGCAAGGGGTCCCCGGGGCGGGGACCCTCGGGCCGGGGCTCGGCCACCTGCGTGACTGCCCGCAGTGCGCCCAGCAAGAGATGGATGGAGACCTCGCATTCCAGCACAGACGGTGCGGGCCACGCACGCCCCGCACAGGCGGCTTTAACGTCAATCACTAAGTCGCGGGCGCGCTGGGGGCCCTCAGGCACCGGCGGGGACTACGCCAGCTAAGGTGGGCGGCTGCGGGAAGGCGGGATGCGGGGCGAGAACACCCCGGACGGGCCTCTACCGGAAGAAACCATGCGAAGCCCAAGGGGGCACCCGGGACCGGAGCGGGACCGGAACGCACAGGCCACCTGGCCCCGCCCCCAGAGGCCCCGCCTTCCGCCGCCGCCTGTGAAAAAAAGCCAAACCCGTAACCTCTACCCGGCCGCTTCCCATTGGTTCCGCGAGTGAGCGAAGCCCGCCGCAGCCAATGAGCCACGGCCACGGCGCGGCGGAGCCCTTCCGGCCCCGCCCCCGCGCCGGCGCCGCGCCGCCCGCCGGAGCAGCCGAGGGCGGGACGTGGAGGCGGGGGCGCGGCAGAGCTGAGGCGGCGGCGGCAGGGGCGGCAGGCGCCGGCGCTCGGCATGGCTCGCCTGGGGCTCGGTAGGCGCGGGTCTGCGGCGGGTGGGCGCTGGCCGGGGAGGCTCGGGAGCGACGTCTTCGCCGGGGCGCCGGCGGGGTCCCGTGGAGGAGCCGTGTGGCGGCCCGCGGGCGGTGCGGAGCCGGGCCCGGGGGGCGAGGCGGGAAGGGGCCTCCTTGGGGCGGAGGCGCTGCAGCCCAGCCGGGGGCCGAGCTCCTCGTGCGCCGGGGCCGGAGGCGGGAGCCCGGCTGGGCGTCGGGGGCCGCGGCGCGTGGCTCCCGCGGGCTCTGCGCGGAGCCCAGCCCTGAACGGAGGGAGCAGCGCCCTCCGGAAGCCGCATCGGGCTGCTAAGAGCACCTTCCGTGGGGCGCGAGCAAATGGAGGCCGGGCGCCCGGGGTCGTGTCCCGTGTTCGGGGCCGTGGGCGAAGTTGAGGTCCGGTCCCGCCCGGCGCGCAGGCAGCTCTGAGCCCGCGCAGCCCACACCCACGAGCTGGGTGGCCCTCCCAGGGTGCAGCATTGTAGGGGTGGAGGTCCCGGGGAGCAGTGAGTGAGTGCAAAGGGAGGAGACGACGTGCACGTGCTTGCGATCGGGCGAGGGGGCACGGTGTGCGTGTGTGAGCTGCACCGGGGCCGGTGCAGGTCCAGCCCGGGGCGTGGCTCTCGCTCACCGGTGTTCCCTCCCGCCAGCAGGTGTGAGGGAGACGCGCTGCGGGTGTTGAGTCTGCACAGCTGAAGCTGCCGTGCTGGAGTGGGCAGCCACAGGCCGAGCCGGCCGCTCCGTGGGTCCCGGGTGGGACGTGCCCAGTGCCCGGGGCTCGGCACCCAGCGCAGTGGTGGGTCCCGAGTGGGACGTGCCCGTTGTCCGGGGCTCGGCACCCAGCGCAGTGGTGGGTCCCGGGTGGGACGTGCCCAGTGCCCGGGGCTCGGCACCCAGAGCAGTGGTGGGTCCCGGGTGGGACGTGCCCGTTGTCCGGGGCTCGGCACCCAGCGCAGTGGTGGGTCCCAGGTGGGACGTGCCCGTTGTCCGGGGCTCGGCACCCAGCGCAGTGGTGGGTCCCGGGTGGGACGTGCCCAGTGCCCGGGGCTCGGCACCCAGCGCAGTGGTGGGTCCCGGGTGGGACGTGCCCAGTGCCCGGGGCTCGGCACCCAGCGCAGTGGTGGGTCCCGGGTGGGACGTGCCCAGTGCCCGGGGCTCGGCACCCAGAGCAGTGGTGGGTCCCGGGTGGGACGTGCCCAGTGCCCGGGGCTCGGCACCCAGCGCAGTGGTGGGTCCCGGGTGGGACGTGCCCAGTGCCCGGGGCTCGGCACCCAGAGCAGTGGTGGGTCCCGGGTGGGACGTGCCCGTTGCCCGGGGCTCGGCACCCAGCACAGTGGTGGGTCCCGGGTGGGACGTGCCCAGGGCTCGGCACCCAGCACAGTGGTGGGTCCCGGGTGGGACGTGCCCGTTGTCCGGGGCTTGGCACCCAGAGCAGTGGCAGTCCTGGGAACAGAGCATTATCGGCCAGTGTGGACCTGCTTTGTGTGGAGTGCTTCTCTGGGGGTCTCCAGGGGGAGTGGCTGTTGGCTGCTTTGACGTCGCCAGAGTGGACGCCCCTTCACAGTAGCTGGATTCCCAAGTGTGCACGGTGGCGTTGCCTTCTCAGGAGTTGAGGTCCACGTTCTCATCAGATACCGCGTGTGAGGAGCAGGGGCTTTGTGAGAGCTGGGCAGAATTTAAGACTGAAACCCATCACCATGACTGTGGAAAAAATAGCCCACCCAGGTCCTTGTGGGGCCCGGCGCCGGTGGTCACGCCGGCCCTGGCGTGGAGGACCCTGGCGTGCCCCCCTCGTGGCTCCGGTCTGCTCCTGGGACCTGTGGTGGAGACAGCAGCCTTTCTTGCTGTCCGTGGTTGAGAGGTGGAGGAACCTAATTCCACTGCCCGCCTCTGCCACGGGGCCCTTGAATTCTCCAGGCCTTAGGTTAGAGACGTGGGTTACATAACTGTGTTCATTCTAATGATGTGGCCTTAGGCTAGCTGTCCTCGCTGTCACGGTTTCCTGGCTTATAAAGCAGGCGTGGGGGTGTCTACCCGACCGCCTTCTCACGTGGGTTCCTCTGTGAACTGTGAAGCAGGGCCTGGCACGGTCGTCTGAGTGTGGCTGTGTTGTCTCCCACGAGAGTAAACATCCTAGCTTCTGGGTGGTAGACCAGATGTCAAAAAGCCTCCACAGCCACACACATGCCCTGCACATGTACACGCACCCCCCCGGTAAGGTTCTCCTAAGGAAGGGGCCATGTCCATTCTTCAGGGCAGGGGAAAGCAGGAGAATATTAGCCACTGAGCTAATGGCGAAACACAGAAAACATGAAAATCAAGATTGTCAGCATGGTTCCACCATTTAAAAAGGTTCCACTGGAAGTAATAAATAACCCATGATAGTTACTTAAATGGAAAATGTCTTTTTTTTTTTTTAAGAGTTACTTATTTGAAAGGGTTGCAGCTGTTCATTCCCCAAATGGCCTCACAGGCCAGGGCCAGACCGAAGCCAAGAGCCAGGACCTTCCTTTGAGTCTCCCACGTGGGTGCAGGGGCCCAAGAACCTGGGCCCTCCTCCACTGCCTTCCCAGGCACGTTAGCAGGAAGCTGGATCGGAAGTGGAGCGGCGGGGACTCGAGCCAGCGCCCACATGGATGCCGCCCTGCAGGCAGCGGCTCTATCTGCTGCGTGGTGGCGTTGGCCCACTTTTGAAAGTTTCACGTTAGGCTCTGAGGTCTTTTCAACCTGTAATCAATATGAGAGGAGTAGTGGGGTTTGTTGATGTTTTTGTGCCTTTACCGAGTCTTGGAAACCAGCGTTCCGTAAGTGCTGCCAGTTGGACAGCGTGTTGTCCAGGGCGCAGTCCCGCCCTGCTGGGTCCCCCCTTTCTCTTCCCCACCTCCTCCTCTCCGGGGCTCCCTCTCCCCCGACTCCAGGCGTTTGTTAAGGTGTCCCCTGGACCTCATCTGCAGCCTCTCACACTCGGTGCTTCTGCCTTCCATGCCCATCTTGAAGAAGAAACCGCACTTACTCCCCACGGAATGCTGGCTGGCACTGCTCTCACTCTGTGGCATGTTCGCTCCTCCTCTGCCCACCGGCCACTGCCGAGTCTCCCCCTCCGCCACCTCACCAGGGCACCCAGTGTGGTCTCTGTGGTTCAATCCAATCTCCGTCTTCCCACCTCTCCCGCTAGCATTGGTCAGTGTGGCCCGTCCCGATACTGCGCTCTGGATAACCCCCCAGGCCATTGTCCACAGTGCAGCGGCACCAATGCTCCTAGAAAGCAAGTCTGTCCAGCCCGTGTGTAATAACCCTCCTCTGGCTTCCATCACTCTGATCCCCTCAGTCCCGATGACGGCTGCCGTGTGGACGGTTCAGATGCAGTGGCTCTGAGTAATGTGATTGTTCACGCCCATGGCAGACCGAACCATTTTTCTCAGGGGCACTGACTGAGGGCAGCTTGGGAAGAGGAGTCAGAGTCGCTCTGCCCTTCCCGGCTACACGTGGGACCGTGGGTGGGCCGTGGGCTCCTCCGCATTTACATGTCTGACCACTATCTGTTGCTGGCTCATAAGGCTGTGAAAGATCCAGTGGTACAGTGGATTGGAAAGGGAGTTGAGGGAAGATTCGGCAGTTAAGTCAGCACCGGTGCCCTCCTTCTGGGAGTGTTTACAGGCAGGCCATTCCCAAATCTTGCGGTTCTGCTTGGGAAGCCAGCGTGTGAAAACAGGCCTGGGATGGCACTGCCTGCCCTACAGGCATTCCAGACTTGCTTCTGATTCACTGTATCAACCATTAAAGGAAAAGACACGATCTTCACAGAGCTGAAAAGACAAGGATAGATAGAAATTTCTTTTTTTTCTTTTTTTAGATTTATTTATTTATTTGAATGTCAGAGTTAGAGAGGGGAGAGACAGAGAGAGAGAGAGAGAGCTTCCATCCGATGGTTCACTCCCCAATTGGCCACCGCATCCGGAGCTGAGCTGATCCGAAGCCGGGAGCTTCCATGTCTCTCATGCAGGTGCAGGGCCCAAGGACGTGGGCCATCTTCTGCTTTCCCAGGCCATAGCAGAGAGCTGGATCAGAAGTGAAGCAGCCAGGACTTGAACTGGTACCCACATGGGATGCCCGCACTGCAGGTGGCGGCTTCTCCCTCTACGCCACCGTACCGGCCCCTAGAAATTTATTTAAGATCTATTCAATCTAAAAACCAGCATCATACCAACGGGAAAACATGTTTGTTAAAGTCAAGAAAAAGCCAAGGACACTGCATTATTTATCATTGTCCTGGAGGTAATTAGAAAACATTTAAAAATATTAAAGGGGGTAGAATTTTGATAGTATTGCCAGCTCAAACTGAGTTCTTAAAATACGCGTTCAGAATTTGTTTTCCTGTATGGAGACTGTAAATTGCATTTGATTTCTTAGAGCAGCCAACAGAAAGACGCTTGATCACGGTGTGGGAGCACCACGCTGTTAATGCCGCGGCAGGCGCAGGCCTGTTTGTCTCGCGGCCAGGACGCCTGCACCGTGTCAGGGCCTGGGCGCCGCACTGACTCCCGCTCCCGGCTGAGGCGACCCTGGGACGCGGTCTCTGCCACCCTGAGGGAGACTTAGGGCTGAGTTCCTGGCTCCCGGCTTTGGCCCCAGTGCGGCCATTGTGGGCGTGTAGGGGTGTTCCAGCAGGGGACGCTCTGTCTGTTCCAGCGCTCACTCTGTCCCTGTCTCCCTGTCTCTGCCTCTCAAGAAACGTCCGCACACACAGTAGGCCACATCCTGCGTGTGTAAGGTCGCTCACGTGAAACTGCGTAGTTTCGTGTCCTTCATTCCGCGACGCTGGCAGTGCTTGATAGCTGCTGTGGGTGGTGGTGGTAGACGTGAAAACACTTGGGGGGTGGGCTGTGGCGCAGCAGGTAAAGCCACTGCCTCGACACCGGCATCCCATACGGGTGCCAGTTCCAGTCCCGCTGCTCCACTGCCAACCCAGCTCCCTGCTAATGCGCCTGGGAAGGCAACAGAAGGCGGCCCAAGTCCCTAGGCCCCTGCACCCACTTGGAAGACCCAGATGAAGCTCCTGGCTTCCGCCTGGCCCATCCCCAGCTGTTGCAGCCATTTGGGGAGTGAACCAGCAGATGGAAGTGCGCACCTTTCTCTGGCTCTGTCTCTGCCTCTCTGAAGCTCTGCCTTTCAAGTAAATAAATCATTTTTAAAAAATAAAGTCTATGAGGACAGTACTATTTAAAAATATAAATACTTATAAAAACAGTTACTGCTGGGGCTGGTACTGTGGTGCAGTGGGTTAAAGCCCCAGCCTGCAGTACTAGCATCCCATAGAGGCGCCAGTTCGAGTCTCAGCTGCTCCACTTCCAATCCAGCTCTATGCTATAGTCTGGGAAAGCAGTAGAAGATGGCCCAAGTCCTTGGGCTCCTGCACCCACATGGGAGACCCGGAGGAGGCTCCTGGCTTCGGTTCGGCACAGCTCCAGCTGTTGTGGCCATCTGGGGTGTGAACCAGTGGGTGGAAGACCTCTCTCTGACTCTACCTCTCTGTGTAACTCTGTCTTTCGAATAAATAAAGTAAATCTTAAAAAAAAAAAAATAGTCATTGCCCTTGGAAAAGTCACGTCCAGTAGGACAGACAAGTGATTGGGTTTTCCCCTCAAAGACGTGTGCAAATGAGGCAGGTGAGTGACACGCGGAGGGCCGTGTGGATTGCCCGATGCAGCCTCTCCATCCGTGAGATGACCATGGGGACAGCCGCTCCACGGGGTGGCTAAGGATGGAGATGGTAACTCGTGAAAAGCTCCAGGAACACTGCGTGGTGAGGGTGAGGGTGAGGACAGCCTGTTGTCAGCGCTGCCTGGGCCAGGGCGGTGCCGGGGCTCGGCTGCAGCCAGGAGGGCACGGGACAGAGCCTCCCTCCATGTGAGGCCTTAGTCGCGGAGCCCTGGGTGCCCAGGTGTCCATGCTGGAGCCGTGAGCCCCCGCACTGACCGCGTGTGTGTTTGTCCTCCAGGTTTGGTGAGCTGCACCTTCTTTCTAGCTGTGAACGGTCTGTATTCCTCTAGCGATGACGTCATCGAGCTAACACCATCGAATTTCAACAGAGAAGTCATTCAGAGCGACAGTTTGTGGCTCGTAGAATTCTACGCCCCATGGTAAGTACAATAGAGAAATTGGGGGAAACACTACATGAAAATCTAATTTTATTTAGTCATTTGCTTTGCCTGGCTTCCAGTTTGCTTGCAAAGTAGAAGAGAGAGATGGGAACCTCCACAAAAAAAAATGCTGAGTCTGTTAAAGGCCACAAGACTGAGTTGGTGATAAAGGTTGAAGTAGCTCATTGTCATGAGAAAGAAGAAAAAACCTTATTTTTAAAAAAAGATTTATTTGTATTTGAAAGGGAAAAGAACAGAGCGAGCGAGCTTCCATCTGCTGGTTCACTCCCTAAATGCACACAGCAGCAAGCACTGGGCCAGGAACTGCACCTGGGTCTCCCATCAGGGTTGTAAGGTCACTGTCTACTGGCTTCCCAGCTCGTTGGCAGGAAGCGGGATCAGAAACAGGGTAGCCAGGACTTGAACCAACACCCCGATCCCACTTAACCTGCTGTGCCACAATGCCAGCCCCTGAAACCTTAACAGTTTTAAGATCTCTCCTTATGATGAGGTAGTGGGTTAAGGATGGAAAGAACACTGATTTGGGAGCAGGTGTTTGGCACGGCGAGTAAGACAGCCTGCATCCCACATCAGAGTGCCTGGCCTTGAGGCCTGGCTCCGCTTCCAGTCCAGCTACCTGCTCGTGCACACCTCGGGAGGCAGTGGTGATGGTCAGCCAAGGACTTGGGTCACTGCCACCCAGGAGGAGACCCATGTTGAGCTGGCTCCTGGCTTTGGCTTGGCCCAGCCTGGGCTGTTGGAGGCATTTGTGGATTGAACCTGCAGAGGAAGCACGTGTTCTCTCTCTCTCCCCTCCTTCTCCCTCCCTCCCTCCCTCCCTCCCTCCCTCTCTCTCTCTCCCTCCCTCCCTCTCTCACCTGCCCCTCAAATTAAAATCTTTCTCTTTTTGAAGTGATACCAGACAGCATAATTGGAAAGGCAGAGTCTGGATCCGCAGGGGTGACTGTTGCTGTACTTGGAGTTCACTTGCTGGTGCTGTGGGTTAGGAGACGTCTGTCTAAGCAGGCACTTCTAGCCACTTCCTGTGTCTGCAGTCCCGTGAAAGCCTTGGCTTCCTCCTCAGAGTGAAGGTTTTGTGTGTACGATGTGTAGCAAGCAGAATCACAAAGGAAAACTAGGAGTGGAAGTGCGGCTGCTGAGGTACTAGGGTGAATCCTGATGTGGGAGCAGCACGCGTGGAGCCTCCCTTATCCCAGGTGGCTGGGGCCAGAGGGGCTTCAATTTGGGGGTTTGGATTTTGGAATGTTGGCATGGGCTTTGTTGGCTGAACATCCCTAATCCAAAGACCAGAATCTGGGGAGTTTGAGACACTGCACGAGTTTCCGATGCCGGGTTTTCAGGTTAGGGACGCTCACCCTGTACTTCCTACTGAGCAGTCAGTACCAGCAGCCGGCTGCAGGCCCAGCCGTTGTAATCCTAAAGTTACGTGCAGAAGGGATTATTTTAAAAAAGATTTATTTATTTCAAAGAGTTACAGAGATGGAGAGACGTAGGGAGAGAATCCTTCCATCCGCTGGTTCACTCCCCAAGTGGCTGCAACGGCCCAGGCTGGGCCAGGGGGAGCCAGGAGTTCATCCAGGCCTCCAGCTGTGTGCCGGGGCTCAAGGACCTGGGCCGTCTTCCGCTGCCGTCCCAGGTGCATTAGCAGGGAACTGGGTCGGAAGTGGAGCAGCTGGGACATGAACCAGCATTCACATGAGATGCCTGCCTCACAGGTGGCGGCTTTACCTGCTGTGCCACAACGCTGGCCACATAAATGATCTTCAAAGATATCCCCGGTGGTCATGATGGTAATCAGAGAATAGTTGTGATTTTTGTTTTAGTACTAACCAACTATAGAATACTGTTTAGAGTCATAATTGAAAGAAATCCTAAATTTCAGTTATAGGTTAGTGAAATTAAGGGATTTTCCCCCCATTCAAGGTCTTAAATGTTTAGCCACCAGTCCCTTGGGAATTTGGCCTGCATGTGGTCCAAGTCAGAGCTTGCGTTATGTTGACATGGCATTATGATCTGCTTGTACCTTCCCTTGACACTCGGAGTGAGGGGTGTGAGCTGTCATGGCGTCTTAAAACTTGAGTCCCCTTTTCATAGATAAACTAGACTTAAGGGGCGCAAAGCTCTGTAAAAATTACGGTCAGGATTCTGAGCATCCCCAGGGCGACAGGATATACTGTGCATAAACAGGTGCAAGCAGCGTTCCCACGTGCCCCTGAAAGGTCTGGCCTCGTGGTCTGTGTTGGGGGTGTGGGCATTTCATGGGGACTGGACGTCAGGCACTGGCGCTGGGTGGCTGTGTGATACACGGTCAGTTTCTTCCCTGCCTCCATTTCATCCTCTGTGAAAAAAAATACTGATGCCGTCTTCAGTGTTCTGCCAGTTAAACAGAGTCTACAGAAAGTGTGCATCTTGGTGCCGGCACATGTTACTTGCTTGTTAGGTCCTTAGAGACCTAATTAGAAGAGAATTTGCTTGGTTTAAAAAAAAAAAAAAAAGCACTGGGCCCCATGTTGTGGTGAAGCAGGCAGAGCTGCCGCCTGCAACGCTGGCATCCCGTCCGGGTGCTGGTTCAAGACCCAGCTGCTCCCTACTAATGGCCTAGGAAAGCAGCAGCAGGTGGCCCGAGTGCTTGGGCCCCTGCATCCACGTGGGAGACTCTGATGAAGCTCCAGTCCCAGCCACTGTGGCCATCTGGGGAGTGAACCAGCATATGGATGGTCAGTCTCTGGGGCCCCTCCTCCCACCCCCCTGTAGCTCTTCCTTTCAAATAAATTAAATGAATCAAGTTATCTATGAACAAGTGAACTGTGGTATTTGCATATGATGGATGTGGCACAGTCATGACAATAAACACCTTGATGAATGTCGGAAACGTAACAAGGGTGTGACCAAAGGGTATGATGTGTGATTTTTCATGGTAGTTTAAGTACTAGGACCTCACAGGGTTAAGTTTTTCTTTGTGTTCTTGTCTCCCTCCCCCGGGTCAGGCACACCTGCTGTCTACCGCATACGCGCACATACACACACCAATGGCTCACAACTTGTTAGGCTTCTAACTCGGGTTTATTTGAGCATGTTGAACTGCCAAGGGGTGTTCAGATGTAAACACAGGAGACGGGCTAGATGCAGTGTCCATGAAGTGAAAAGGTCCATTTACATCGGGGATCTCAGACCTCATAGGTCTATCAGCAGTAGAACTTCCGGGATGCACATTTTGGGACGGGCGTGAGCCTGGCAGTTAGGATCCCTGCGTCCCACACTGGAGAGCCTGGCTTCAGTTCTGAGCTCTAGGGGCAGTGGGTGATGGGCGGGTGGTCGGGTTGCTGCCCAGTTCTGAGCTCTGGGGGCAGTGGGTGATGGGCGGGTGGTCAGGTTGCTGCCCAGTTCTGAGCTCTGGGGGCAGTGGGTGATGGGCGGGTGGTCGGGTTGCCGCCCCCCACAGGGAGTCTTGGGTTGAGTTCCTGGCTTCCAGCTTAACCCCCCCCCCCAACCATTGCAGGCACTTGGGGTGTTACCCAGCCAGTGGGTAATCTGTCTGTCTGTCTGTCTCAAGTAATACAGGTTCCTTCTCCAGGAGCTCTGGTTTCTTGGGATCCAGGAACCTGCTTTTTGCCTTCCATAAGCTCCACGCGTTGAGGCGACTGGCCCTGACGCGTGGAGGGGAGTGTTCACGGCTCACGGTTTACTTCAGCTTGTGAACAGGGTTTAGTGGGTCAGTGATTGGAAGCTTATCTATTAGGGTGCTGTGTAAAGCGATGGTCAGCAGTAGTACGGTGCCCCTGGGGCCCTGAGGTGTTCTGTTTGTGCCTGACCTCCTGCAGATGCACGATGCCATGCAGGAGGCCACGGTGTGCCTGTTAGAAACTGCAGAGAGCAGTCTTCAGTTTTCACCTTCTTTGTGTTTTCTCCCCCACAAGGTGCGGCCACTGCCAGCGGTTAACGCCAGAGTGGAAGAAAGCGGCCAGTGCCTTAAAGGTGAGTCTGACCTGGCGGCGTCCCCGCGGCTCAGCAGGTACGCAGGTGGTGGCTGTGGACGTAAGAAGCTGACTGCCTCGTAGGGTTGAAAACATGGTTCTGTTGCCAACAACTTGTAGGGAACGTGGGCAGAATATCTATTTTATTTTATTTTACTTCGACGGATCTGTTTGAGAAGCAGAGAGCATGCTCCCATCGGCTGGTTCACTCTTCAGATGCCCACAACACGCCGGAGGCTGCAGTCAGTTCAGGTCTCCCACATGGGAGGGATCCAACCATTGGCACCGTCATGGTCTCCCAGGTCCACATAAGCAGGAAGGTGGGGTCAGGAGCCAGAGCTGGGTCTTTTTAAGAAAATTTGTATTTAATAAATATAAATTTCATAGGTACAGCTTTTGGATTATACCAGTTCTTCCCCCCATAACCACCCTCCCACCCCTACTCCCATCCCATCTCCTACTCCCATCCCATTCTTCATTAAGATTCATTTTTAATTATATACAGAAGATTAGCTCTATACTGTATAAAGATTTCAACAGTTTGCATGCACACAGACACACAAAGTATAAAGTACTGTTTGAGTACTAGATTTACCATTAATTCTCGCAGAGAGCCTACATGGAGAGTAAGTGCACAGTGACTCCTGTTGATTTAACAATTGACACTCTTATTTCTGACGTCAGTAATCACCTGAGGCTCTTGTCATGAGCTGCCAAGGCTGTGGAAGCCTCTTGAGTTCACAAACTCCAGCCTTATTTAGACAAGGCCATAATCAAAGTGGAAGTTCTCTCCTCCCTTCAGAGAAAGGCACCTCCTTTTTTGATAGTCCCTTCTTTCCACTGGGGTCTCACTCACAGAGATCTTTCATGTAGGCCATTTTTTGCCACAGTGTCTTGGCTTTCCAGGCCTAAAATACTCTCATGGGCTTTTCAGCCGGATCCAAATGCCTTAAGGGCTGATTCTGAGGCCAGAGTGCTGTTTAGGACATCTGCCATTCTATGAGTCTGCTGTGTATCCCGCTTCCCATGTTGGATCGTTCTCTCCCTTTTTTATTCTATCAGTATTAGCAGACACTAGTCTTGTTTATGTGATCCCTTTGACTCTTAGTCTATCGTTATGATGAATTGTGAACAGAAATTGACCACTTGGACTAGTGAGATGACATTGGTACATGCCTACTTAATGGGATTTGGAGTCCCTTGGCAAGTTTTTAGCTTTAGCCTTAGGGGTAAGTCTGAGAGGGAATGTGTACATTGCCTCCCTCTCTTATTCCCGCTCTTACTTTCTACAGGGATCAATTTTCAGTTGGATTTAAATACCTAAGAATAATTCTGTGTTAAGAGTTCAACCAATGGTATTAAGTAGAAAAAGAAATAGTAAAAAGAATAAAATAGTAAGTTGTTCCTCGACAGTCAGGACAAAAGTTGATCAGGCATTGCTTCTCATTGTGTCAGTTTCACTTCTACAGGTTTCCTTTTTGGTGCTCAGTTGCCACAGATCAGGGAGAACATATGGTATTTGTCCCTTTGGGACTGACTTATTTCACTCAGCATGATGTTTTCCAGATTCCTCCATTTTGTTGCATTTTGTTACCGCTGTGTAGTATTCCATAGAGTACCTTTCCCATAATTTCCGTATCCAGTCTTCCGCTGACGGGTATTTAGGTTGATTCCATGTCTTGGCTGTTGTGAACTGAGCTGCAGTACACATGGAGGTGCAGACAGCTCTTTCATTTCCCTTGGGCAAATTCCCAAGGGTGGGATGTCTGGGTCACATGGTAGGACTAGATTCAGGTTTCTGGGGTATCTCCACATTGTCTTCCAAAGTGGCTTTCCCGGTTTGCATTCCCGCCAACAGTGGACTAGGGTGCCTTTTCCCACATCCGTGCCAGAGCTGGGTCTCAGACCCACTCCTGTGTGTACCGTAGCTGTCTTTCCTAGGCTGCCTCTACAGCGTAATTTTGTTTTTGTTTTTTAAGATTTTATTTTATTTATTTGACAGAGTTACAGACAGAGAGAAAGAGAAAAATTAGGTCTTCCTTCTGTTGGTTCACTCCCCAAATGGCTGCAACGGCCGGAGCTGCGCCGATCCGAAGCCAGGAGCCAGGAGCTTCTTCCTGGTCTCCCACACGGGTGCAGGCACCCAAGCACTTGGGCCATCCTCCACTGCCTTCCCGGGCCACAGCAGAGAGCTGGACTAGAAGAGGGGCAACCGGGACAGAATCCGGCGCCCATATGGGATGCCAGTGCTGCAGGCGGAGGATTAACCTAGTGCGCCGCAGCGCTGGCCCCTGCAGTTTGATTTTCATATCGCATATTTCTGCACATCGTGTTTCCTGGGAAATGTCCTAACTGGAGTTGGGTCTGCGGGTTCTGGGAGCGGCAGGCTTCCCTCCACAGACCTCGTCCGTCTCTCTGTGAAGAGTGTCTCTGGTTCCAAGGCTGACGCCCTCACAGGATCTGTGTCGCCTTCACCTGCCTTTTATTACCTTTACTGCATGGATCTGATGATGGATTCATATCTGATCTTGTTCCAGTTGAAAGAAAAACAGATATCTGGGGCCAGTGTTTGGCACCGTGGTTAAGGTGCCGTTGAGACAGGCGCATCCCCTGTCGGAGCGCCTGGTTCCAGGCCCAGCTCGTCCCCTCCAGCTGGTTCCTGCACTGCAGGCCCTGGGAGGCAGCAAGCATGGCTCCGGCATCTGGGCCCCCGCCACCCATGTCAGAGACCAGCTTGGCTTTGGCTTGGCCCAGCCCCAGCTCCGGGGGCGTTTGAGGGGTGAACCAGCAGATGAGAAAAAGTCTGTCCTTTGTGTTTCTCTGCCTTTCACATAAAAAATTAAACTTTTTAAAAATGTAAAGGTTAAAAAGAAAACAAAAGTAGATACTTCTTCTGTGTTTCCACAGGATGTTGTAAAAGTCGGTGCAGTTGATGCAGACAAGCACCAGGCCCTGGGAGGTCAGTATGGGGTGCAGGGCTTTCCGACCATCAAGATTTTTGGAGCCAACAAGAACAGACCAGAAGATTATCAGGGTGAGTGCTTCCCCGACTCCTCTGTTGCCCTGGTGAGCCAGAACCCAGGATTTCTGCCTCGGTGGCACTCTGGCCCACAAGTTCCACAGTCTTTTTGTGCCTGAATTTCCTTAAATGGAATTTCTATAAATTGTAAGGTGAGATCCCTACCCCATCTTGAATTCTGAAAGATTTTTTTTTAAAGATTTATCTTTGTTTATTTGAAAGAGCGACAGAGAAAGCTCTTCCATCCACTGGCTCACTCCACAAACGGCCACAACAGCCAGTGCTGGGCCCAGCCATGGTTAAGAGCCAGTGGAGCTGGCGCTGTGGCACAGAGGGTTACAGCCTCAGCCTGCAGCACCGGCCTCCCATATGGGCGCCGGTTCGAGTCCCAGCTGCTGCTGTTCCAATCCAGCTCTCTGCTATGGCCTGGGAAAGCAGTGGAGGATGGCCCAAGTCCCTGGGCCCCTGCACCCGCATAGGAGACTGGGAAAAACTCCTGGCTCCTGGCTTCAGATCTGCTCAGCTTTGACCATTGTGGTCATTTGGGGAGTGAACCAGCGGATAAAAGACCTCTCTCTTTGGCTCTACCTTTCTGTAACTCTTGTCTTTCAAATAACTAAAATAATTCTTTAAAAACAAAAAGAGCTAGGAATTCCATCCCAGTCTCCTACCTGGGTGGCAGCCAAGTACTTGGGCCGCCTTCCCAGGCGCCTTGGCAGGAAGTTGGACTGGAGACGGAGCAGCTAGGACTAAAACTAGGGCTCCGACGTGGGATGCCGTTGTGGCGGCGGCCCGACCTGCTCTGCTGCGGTCTGGAGGGTTAACGGCGCCGTCCTTCGTCTCCCCCAGGCCCGTGCTGCCTTGGCTCTGTGGAGCGGTCGGTGTTCTGTGCCACCCTCTTGTCTTTCTCGCTCTTATTACTTAATATTTCATGATGGTCAGAATTGATTTCTCACTCAGCTCTCCTTCCTTTACTGGTACAAGAAAGCTGTAGCATGGCAACGTGAACGAGAAGGCCCGGTGACTTGCAAGTTGAACCGTCTGTAGTTGGAGAGAGGGAAAGACAGGCAGATCCGCCATCTGCTGGTGTACTGCCCAGACGGCAGCAAAGGCCAGGCTGGACCAGGCTGGAGCCAGGAGCCAGGAGCCCCTTCCAGGTCTCCCACGTGACTGGCAGGGGCCCAGGCACTTGGACCACGTCCCACTGCTTTCCGGGGCCATCACAGGGAGCTGGATGGAGATGGAGCAGTTGGGACTAGAACTGGCGTCAGTATGCGCTGGCTGCGGTTGCTTTTGCACTCGGCAGAGCTGCGTGGTGGCCGTGGACAAAGAGGCCCCCGGAGCGGAGAATAGCTCCACCTGGCCCTTTGCAGAGAACACGTCCAGCCACTGTCCTGAGTGGGAGACGCTGGCTTTCCCGGGGCAGCATGTTTCCTGCTAGACTGGTTCAGAGGACGGTGGCACTGGAAGGAGCCGGGGCAGGATGGCCTGCCCTCGTGTGTGGTCAAGGCCCACCCAGGATGCCGTCCGTGTTGCTGTGTGGTCCCCAGCGAGCCACCGGGGGTTCCTGCCCACTGGCTGTGGCAGCAAACCCCTGTTCGTTCTGCCATACAGTCAGACCCGTGGAAAAGCTTGATTATCAGTCAGAAAAGCTGTGAGAGATTGCAGGACAGTTACAACAAGTGTACTGTGATAAAGGCTGCGTGAATGTGGGCTCTTCACAAAAAGTCAAGACAGATGTTGGCATTCAGGCCGTGGGCACGTGGAACGGCAGGGAAGGGGGAATGTATTTGAAAGGCAGAGTTAGAGCGATCTTCCATCTGCTGGTTCACTCCCCAGGTGGCTGCCACCAGCCGGGACTGGGCAACCCAAAGCCAGGGCTTCATCCGGGTTTCCTGCACGGGTGGCAGGGGCCCAAGGACTTGGGCCATCTTCTGCTTTCCCAGGCACATTAGCAGGGAGCGCAGTCGGAAGTGGAGCAGCGAGGACTTGAGCCAGTGCCCATATGGGATGCCAGCTTAACCTGCTGCACCACAGTGCCTGCCCCATTGGCCATTGCCCTTCAACTAAATGAAATGAATAATTCAAAGTTGTAGAGACAGAGCCATTTTCCATCTGCTGGTTTGCTCCCCAAATGGCCACAATGGCCATGGCTGGGCCAGGAGCCAGGAGCTTTTTCTGGATCTCCCACCTGGGTGCAGGGACCCAAAGACTTGGGCCATCTTCCACTGCTTTTCCAGGCCATTAGCAGAGAGCTGGATTGGAAGTGAGCAGCTGGGACTCTTTACTGGCGTCTATTTAGAATGTGGCACTACGGGCGGTACCTTAGCCCACGATGCCGCGGCGCCAGACCCAGGTCCATGCATTTTAATTCAGGCTTGTTACTTCCTACATTAGGATTCAACTCAGTTTAGCAGTGTTTTCAGCAAGATAGCAGAAAGAGGGAGAAGCCATCGTGGGCTGCTTGCATCACAGTGCCTGGGTTTGAGTCCTGGCCACCCTCTGCACGCCTCCCTGCCAGTGCACGTGCGGGGAGACCAGTGGTGGCCCGGACAGCTGCGTCCTGCCAGCTGTAGATGCCGGCGCACGCGCACCCTTGGGAAGTGCTCCCGCGTGAACACTTGTGTTGCTGCAGGTGGTCAACCTCAGGTGAGCCTGTCAGCTCTGGAAACGCGAGTCCGCGGAGCGCCCGAGATGGCGCGCGGGCTGCAGGCTGGGCCGGGGCTGGGCTGGGGCTGCCTGTCCCTCCTGACCTCTCCTCTCCACCCTGCAGGGGGCAGGACCGGCGAGGCGATTGTGGACGCCGCACTCAGCGCCCTGCGCCAGCTTGTGAAGGACCGGCTCGGCGGCAGGAGTGGCAGCCACAGCTCCGGAAGACAGGTGAGGCCTGAGGGCCACTGTCGAGCCTGGCAGCAGGCTCCCGTAGGAAGGCGTCACGTTTCACTTAAACCGGTGGACTTTCCACCAAAAGACAGCAGGTGTCAGGTCCCTCGATCGGCAGCGTGCCAGCGTGGTCGCCGCGGGATCACCAGTGCCTGAGCCGGTTTGCCAGGACTGCAGTTCAGGCTGCGATGGGCTTCCCCGGCCAGGGCTGAAACGAGGGTTTGCACTGCGCTCCAGGTCCCAAGAGCTGGGCTCGGGAAGCCCGCGTGCCTCGGGATTCCAGAGGGGAGGCGGATGGCGCAGCACTGCTCCAGGTCGACCGGGCAGGCCGCGATGGAGCTTGGACAAGCTCTGCTTTGTGTGCGTGGCAGTCAGGAAGTTGTCCATAGTGGACAGGGAAGGAGAAGCGTATCGTCTGTATTGATTAGAAAGACCGCTCCCATCCCCCAAACGCACACTGCCAGCAGGGCTGGACCAGGGCAGTCCTAGGAGGTGGGAACGCGATCTGGGTCTCCCGTGTGGGTAGCAGGAGCCTGAGAGACTTGTGTTGTCACCACGGTCCTCCAGGGTTCACATTAGCAGGAAATGAGTCAGAAGTCAGAGCCAGGAATTAAACGCAGACCCTCCAGTACATGTGGTCCAGGCCTCCTGACCACCGGACCAGGTGCCTGTTCCTGCATTGGCACTTCAGATGCCCGGATATGGATCATGTAGCTTAACCGTGATGCGTGTATTTTACTGAAAGGCGTTAGCGTACAGGTGTATAAAGAATGGTTTCTGACTCCTAGAAGGCCGTAAACCCTGCTGTTTTATAGACAGCTCACCCAAAGACTGCACGCTCCTGCCCTTTTTACGAAACTTAGATGTGGAATGCATACACCCGCCTTGCCCCTGCCCCAGGCAGAGCTTATATGAAGGATGCCCTCAATTTGAAAGTTTTCCTAGTGTAGTCACAAAGAAAAACTGGAAACTCCCTTCTAACGTCCAGGCGAGCGCTGTTCTGTGTGTAGACTGGAGAGGGCTGTTTGGGGCCGCGCTGTCGTGTGACACCTTCTGTCCTGACGACAGGGCAGAGGCGACAGCGCAAGTAAGAAGGATGTGATTGAGCTGACGGATGACAGCTTTGATGAGAACGTCCTCGAGAGCGACGACATCTGGATGGTTGAGTTCTACGCGCCTTGGTGTGGACACTGCAAAAAGTAAGTGCTTTCTCGCGTCGGCTGTGTGGCCCGGGCTTTTAGTCCTTGCTCTAGCACGTTTTGGAAGACCTCCTGCAGAGGACTGACTGAGGGACACAGGACACCGGCGGGCGCACGGCAGCTTCCCGGTCGTGTGTGCAGAGCAGGGCTGGTGGTGTCCGATCTGGGAAGGGCCGGGGCGCCATGGTTCTCCTCTTCCGGCGAGACACCACTGGCACAGGCCCGTGGCGGTGTCCACGCTGCTGGGTGGAGTGCACGCTTCAATGCAGCTGTTTTTCTGTAGCCTCGAGCCAGAGTGGGCTGCCGCAGCCACCGAGGTCAAAGAGCAGACGAAAGGGAAAGTGAAGCTGGCGGCCGTGGACGCCACCGTGAACCAGATGCTGTCGAGCAGATACGGGGTGAGTGCGCGCCCAGGCTCCTCTGCCGTCCGCGGCCTCATTCCGTAGAGCAGGCCTGTGAGGCAGGAGGAGAGGGGGCCGCCCCCGCTGGGAGCGAGTGGAAGCCAGTCCAGTACGTCGGGACTGGGGTCTGGGCGCTCTTCAGTACCAGCCTCCTCCCCTGAGCACGCGCCCTGTGTTAGCTCCACGCCCAGCCCAGTGACAGGCGCCCTGGGAACAGGTGATCCAGCCTGCGCAGGCACTGTGGTCGACTCCTGCGCGGCGGTCCTGGCAGCCGGGAAGATTGTGGTGTTTCTAAGTTGATGTTTTTACTCTAATTTTTTACTAGATTCGAGGATTTCCTACAATCAAGATATTTCAGAAAGGCGAGTCTCCTGTGGACTACGACGGTGGGAGGACGAGGTCCGACATAGTGTCCCGGGCCCTGGATCTGTTCTCCGACAACGCCCCGCCCCCGGAGCTGCTGGAGGTGAGCACCTTGGCCCTGTGCAGCCAGGAGATGTGGCGTGGGGGCACTGAAGTCCGGCCGTGCCCAGCCAGTGTGGCCGACAGACTGCACACTAGCGCCTCCGCCCCACCAGACACGGCTTCTCCCCGGGCGGCACTGCTGTGTCTGGAGGAGGAAGCCGGCTCTGGGAGGGTCTGTGTGCAGGGGCGCTGGGGGCCTGCGGCCTCTCAGCCGGGCTTGTCTTGGGCCCCGCAGATCGTCAACGAGGACGTGGCCAAGAGGGCGTGTGAGGAACACCAGCTGTGCATCGTGGCGGTGCTGCCGCACATCCTAGACACAGGTGAGCCCGGCACAGCCTCCCCCGGCTGCTCCCTGGAGCCGGCCGTGACTCACCTGGGGAACTCCCTGTCTCTCAATCAGGAGCTGCAGGCAGAAATTCGTATTTGGATGTTCTTCTGAAGTTGGCCGATAAATACAAAAAGAAAATGTGGGGGTGAGTAGCCGAGCTTCCCGTCTCGGGGTCACGTGGGTGCGAGGCTGCCGGGGAGCGCGCTCCGTGGTGCCTGCGGGAGGTGGCCGTGGGGCTGTGCCTGTGTAGCTCGGGGGTGACGTGGCTGTCCTGCAGGGAGAGAGCAGTGCGCGTGCTCGAGTGCTCCGCACCAGCGTCAGAGGGCTCATTTGGTGGGTGGGCGGCTGGGCTTCCAGGCCAGCTCTAGGGCAGCTTTGGCGGCCAGAGAACAAGGAAGAACGGTGGCTCCTGGCTCAGCGCTGGGCGGGCTGGATCCCTCTGTCTCCTTCCCGTCTATCTTCATCCTCGACACCCAGCGTGGGAAAGCGGTGCCTCCGCGCGGCCTCACTGCTCCGCTGGGTCAACACATAATGAGTTCCTCCCACACACGAGTGTGCAGAGCGGCCCAGACGCCTCTGGTGGGGCGTGCGGTGAACGGCAGGGAAAGGGCCTGCAGGTTTGGGGGGCTGGGACCGCACAGCCTCTCCTCCTGTGCTGCACCACAGACGTGCAGGCCGCCGGGAGCTCTGGCCCGAGCGAGGAGTGCGTCTCAGCTGCCTTCTCAGGCCTCGCTTGGCTTTGCTTTCTGCATTCGTGCCATCCCACAAAGCACAGGAGGCGCCCTTTCTTGTTGTGCAGGCCTGCAGTTAGAGCCCAGCTAATGTGAAAGACCTCTGTGCCCTCAACAGCCGCCTGCTTTCCTAGGTGGCTGTGGACAGAAGCCGGGGCGCAGGCGGAGCTGGAGTCGGCGCTGGGCATCGGCGGGTTCGGGTACCCTGCCATGGCAGCCATCAACGCACGCAAGATGAAGTTTGCTCTGCTCAAAGGGTCGTTCAGCGAGCAGGGCATTAACGAGTTTCTCAGGTGAGTCTGCTGCTCGGGTCAGGTGTGGTGTCGGGTTTGGAACCAGGTGTGTGCAGTCGTGCACTTGAAACCAGAGAGTCCGGGCTCTCACATCCCCGTTTCTGGGGAGCTACCCTGCACAGCGGGTGCCCCCACACCGCCCTGCCTGCCACTGCGTGGCCCTGGGCTCCGTCCAGTTCTCAGCCCCGTCTCCCCCAGTCCTGTCCAGTGTGCTAAGTGACACGGTTTCCATTTCTTGGAAATGGGCGTCTTAGGTCACCCCCCCAGTGTGCAGACCCAGGAGCCAGCTTCTAGAGCCCTCGGTCCTACTCCGCGCACCCTGGGGTGGACCTAACCCTGCTGGGCAAATACAAGGCACTGACTGGCCTCACGCGATTCTGGGCCCAGGCCTCGCTCTCTTCCTCGTCATCTCCCTGCTGCCGTGCACCCTCCCCGCCTGGCGCACAGCCGGGGGCTGTACCGTGCAGGCAGCCTCCTCAGCGTGGGGGAACAGACCCTGGCCCGCCCCTCCCGCACCTCCGCCCTCTGGTTTGACGAGAGCCGGCCTCCTGGAGGGGCGCTGGAGATTGGGAAGTGGAAGCCAGACGGACAGGACCTGGGGCTGGCTGTCAGCCATCGCACTGAGGTGTTCCAAGTTGATAAAATGACAACATCAAAGCATTTGTTTTAGAATCTTTGTAGTTTAGATCCATTTGTTACAAAACTCAGGAAAAATGTAAAGTAACAAGGTTTCTTTCTTTTTTTTTTTTTAAAGAAAGCCATTAAACAGCATGGAGATTTCCAAATATGTACAAAGTAGACCAGGCTGACAGCAGGTGCCCACCAGTGGCCAGACTTTGTCACCCACTGCTCTGGTCCATTCCGTCTCATCTGTAGGTGTTTCCACAGGTGTCCCGTCAAAGCTTTCAGCAACAGGACATCGTGCCTAGAAAGCAGGCTGAGATGTCACCCATCCCCTAGTTTCATGTGGAGTTCATCTCCCAGTGGGCGCACTGGAACTGCTAATGTTTACAGGTGTTTGCATAGAGTAGTCCGGTGCCTGCTAAGGTTGCGAGCGTCCGAGTTCTTCTCCAGCCCAAAGCAGGGTGTCCAGACCTTGGATCACGTGGATCCATGGACTTGCTTATTCCGGCTTCAGTGACTTAAGTTTCTGGGGGTTGTTGGATGAACCCCACGGACTTGCAGCAGTAGAGTGTTTGGCTTTGGCCTCCCAGCCCCCGGTCAGCACGGGGCTGCGGTGCCCTCAGGCTGCGCGCCGGCTCTTGGGAAGGCTGGCGGCGCTGCCGGGCGAGGAGCGTCTGGGAGACACGGGCGGCCTGCGGGGTGACTGCATCTCGGCAGAGCGCCCTCGCTGGCAGCGACTGGCTTGATGGTAGACCTCGGCTGGCGTCACTGCTGGTCTGCAGAGACTGGGCGGCGAGCGGCCTCAGCGCAGGCGCACTTCTCCAGGGGGCCGGCGGCTGTCCATCCATCGTGACCGGTTCCTCTTTCCCCCCAGGGAGCTGTCCTTCGGGCGTGGCTCCACCGCCCCTGTGGGAGGCGGGGTCTTCCCTGCCATCAGTGTGCGAGATCCGTGGGACGGCCAGGACGGCGTGGTGAGTGCTGGGAGGCCGCGCGGCGGGGTGGGCGGCCTGCCTTGCTGCCCTGCGCCGGGGAGCCCTGCAGGGACCGCTTCCCTGAGGCACTGCCGCCTCGCCTGGAAGCGCCGCATGGCACAGGATGTCCCTGACGCACATCCAGGATGAACTGCCGTAGAGGTCACCTCCCCGATCGTCCGCCCCGGGCAGCGTTCAGCCAGGCGTGCGCTGGCTCCGCGCTGGGGAAGGCAAAGCTGTAGCATTCGCTTCTGCGCGGGTCTGCCCCCGCCCACCGGGCGGCCCTCGGCTTTGCGCTTCAAAGGCGGCGGTGACGTATCTGCGCTTAGCTCTCCGTCTGTAACAGGTGCAGGACGCGGGAGACTGGCTCGTGACCGGAGCCTTCCAGAGCTCCCGAGCCGCCTCGGGGGTGGCTGCGTCCCGGGGTGCCCCCGCCTGCGGGGCTGACGGTGGTTTCTGTCCACAGCTGCCCGTGGAGGACGACATTGACCTCAGCGACGTGGAGCTCGACGACTTGGAGAAGGACGAGCTGTGAGGCGCAGCAGCGGTGAAGGGGCGCCCCCCCCCCAGGAAGTCGCTCTGGATGGCCATTACAAACACTGCACCAGTGAACTTTTGCGTCTCAAGAAACACTGAGAAATTCTATGAATTGCTGTAGCCAGTGCAGGACTGTGCGCGGTCACGTCACGTCGAGGACAACAGGGCTGCTGCCCGCCCTCCCCGACTGCTGCTGGGATGTCTGAGGCTGTTTCTTACTCGTAGGGTTTTTTTTAATGTGATTCCTTCATTTGAATATTAATGGCTTTTTCCATTAAAGAATAAAACAATATTTTGGACAGTGCTGATAAATGTCTGAACTTAGTGTCCACCTCCTAAGCCAGGGCCTGACGTGACGCCCGACGGCACCGTGCGCCGGCCCCGGGGCTCCGGCTCTCCGTGCTCACCCGCCTCAAACTCCCGCCCGGACAGGCGGGGCGGCGGGAGTCTCAGACACAGGGCGATGGAGCTGCGGAGTTGGGAGTTCAGAGGACCGGGCGTTTCATTGTAACTAAACTCGGCTAACTGGCGTGAGCAGCGTCTCTGGAGACCTCTGCCCCAGGCGCCTGCGCGCCGGCCGCTAGTCGAGGAGACCGAGGTCGATGTGGAAGTAGACGTACGGGAAGTAGTCCTGGTTACTCAGCTGCAGCCCCGGGATCTCCACGGACGCCTGGGCAGGAGACAGGCTCTGAGCCACGCGTGGGCGCCGCGGGACGACTCTCCCCGCCCCTCCCGCTGGGCCACACGGCCACCTTGGGACCCGGTACCTACGTCCAGCAGGCTGGCGGCGGCGACCTGGTCCAGGTGTCGGAAGACGGAGTTGAGGACCTCCCGCAGGCGCTTGGTGGCCGACTTCTTGTGTGGCTGCAGGAGGACGGCCTGGAAGTTCACGGGCAGCCCGTACCTTTCCAGACAGACGGGGCGTCAGCTGCGGCTGGGCCGGCCCTCCCGCCCCCCGCAGGCGTCTGCCTCAGCAGAGTCAGGGCTGTGGGCGCACAGTGACAGTGCGCCACGTCAGCCCCCGCCCGCCTGCCGCAGAGCAGTGCTGGGGTCTGCCATCAGGGCCGTGCTAACGCGCTCCCCAGCCGTGTGCTAGGGCGGAAGTGACGCCCTGACCGGCCGCTGCACTGGCCTCACTGGCTCGCCACTTTTCTCATTTCCGGTCCCCAGAGCTCTGGTGTCAGCCAGGGGAGGGTGAGCGGTGAGATGGAGGCACCTCCTCCTCTCGCCTGCCCCCACCCCGGCCCGCTGGGCAGGAGCACGTCCCCACAGCTGCACCCCAGGAGCACTGCGGCAAGGGCCGTGGGTTTGCTAAGGGGCGGGCATTGCGGCCGCAACACAGCGGCTGGGCCCACCCCGGGCCGCGTGGACACAGCCTGCCCTGCCTCGGCGTCCCTCAGGCTGAGCTCCCCGGGCAGATGCCGCGTGGGTCCCTGGTGCTGACGGCGGATGTCACTCTCCCACGCATCAGGGCCCCGCACCCTGGACCCCTTCCAGGCGCCCGTCCTCACGCGTCCTCTGGCTCACTCGGAACGCGGCTTGTGCAGTGGCTAGTGTGCTCTCCAGGGCCTGCCCCCTGCCATCGCTCCTGGACTCCACCAGGGAGCCTTCCTTGCTTGCCCAGGTCCTCAGGGAAGTCGCCGGCTGCCCTCCAGCATCTCCCAGTGGCCTGCCGATGGCCGAAGCCACAGGCCACCTAACCCTCAGCCTCGCGCCTCCTGCCTCTCACCTCCTGGTACCGGGCCCCTCGGCCGCCACTCGCCCTACATGCTCGGCACCTTTCCCCTAAGAGGGCCTGGCGTCACCCCCGCCTGCCGCTCGGGACTCCCCAACACCTGCTCCCCAGACCTGCCACGGAGCCCTCGCGGCGCAGCCGAGGCTCTGCCTGCTTCACGTGGCTTCTCCGACAAACATCTCACATCCTCTCTGCCCGCTCGGCTGGGCGAGAGCTGGGGCTGGAGAGCATCAGCTAAAGCCACCACAGAGACTCGGGGAGCTGCACACAGGCCGACCCGAGAGCACAACGCAAAGCCAAAGACACGGGAGCCGCACAGCCAGCGTCAAGCACCCCGCCCTCTATCGGGCTCCACGCCATTCACCACGGCGGCCCACGGGCATGAGCAACCTTTGCTCTCTGCGGTATTCCTGACTGGCACTTCACTGTGGACGCGTAGGACAGCCAAGCCGAGGAAGAAAGGGGAGAGGCGACCGAGGAGACTTGTGGGAAATGCATTTACCCCAACTAGGCACGGGGGCCGCCTGCCCACCGCCCTGAGCAGGCGGGCATCCCGTGAGGCTCGGACAGACTGCAGAGGGCCTCCGACTCCTGGGGCCCGTCCACGCCGGAGGTGGCTGCAGTGCCCTTGACCCTCCCGGCCTCCGGGAGCCAGGTGCGGGCGTGGACTGGCCAGCCAGGAGCCGGGCTCAGGTCTGTGTTTGAACAAGCCACACCGACAGCCCTCAGGATGGGGAAGAGGCTACGGCAGCGGTCGGGCAAGCAGGGCCGGGGGCCAGAGGGTGAGAACGGGAGGCGCAGGCTGACCCTGAGGGCGGGCACAGGTGCTGGGCAGCAGAGGCAGCTCACCGCAGGCAAGCGGCAGGCCCCGGGTGGGAGATGGTGGGGTGCACACTGCAGGGGACCCCGGTGCCTGCAGGCAGCAGCGGCCAGCATGATGCTGCCACCCAGATGGGGCGGACTCGGGACACGGGACATGCTCAGAACAGGGCGGGAAGCACAGGGTGCAGATGTGTCCTGACTCGACTTCCACAAGCACTTAGTGAACACCTCCACAGCCCCCAGGGCCCAGGCAGGAAGTCCGTGTTTCCTGCTGGGGTTCAAATCACGGGAGATCCTCGCCGTGTGCTCCGCTCTCCTTGGAACAGCGCGGCAGAACAAGCGGGCTTGCCAGCGGTGTCATTTGGCTTTTCTTTCTTGGGCTGCCCTGGGCCTGGGAGGTGAGGGTGGACGGGGCTGTGTCCCAGGAGGCACTGGGGTCCTGAGGGCCAGGCAGCGCACAGATGAGACCTCCCCAGGGCAGCAGAGGCAGGAGGGAGGGCGGGGCGTCGCCGGCACGCACCTGAGCACAGACTCCACGAACACCCGCAGGGCCTTGATGTGGATCCAGGCGATAAAGGCCTCACTGAAGTTCACCTTGAGCCAGCGCAGCAGGGGCCCCTGCAGAGACAGGCCGGCCGGTCACGGGGCCTGCTGCGGCCGGGGACAGAGGGCTGGGGTGTCAGAGCGGGCCCTGAGCTGAGCAGACAGGCCCAGGAGTCGGCAGAAGCAGCATCGCTTGGACGGGCCCCACCGTGTCGGCCTGCAGCACCAGGCGCGCTCAGCGGGCGGCCAACGGCCCAGGCACTCAGGCCCCCCGGGCACGGGGCTGTCGGCAGGAAGCTAACGGCTTCACCTGACCGCACAGCCAAGGAGCCCACCTGCCCCAGGGTCCTGGCATCACCCATCAGCCGCCGCTGCCATGAGGCCGGCGGGCCAGCCCCTGCAGCCTCCAACTCCCACAAGTCAGGTGGGGCCGGGGCGGCCCAGGGGGGCACAGCCCAGCTGCCCGACCGCCACCGCCAGCCAGAGCCCTGCCCGTCACCAGCTCCAGCCACCTGCAGCCGGGGCGGAGGCGCCCTGGCCCACAAGCACCCCTTGCCCTGGGGGAGGGAGCTGCAGTGCGGCCCCCAGATTAGTAGGAAGGCATGATTCGGGGCTCCTCGGATTTGCCACCTCCAAAGCCGCGTCAGATCACAGAAAGGCAAGTTCTCAGAAGCAGCCTGCGCTGGCAGACGCGAGCCAGGGCCCCCGGGCGCCCAGGGGGGTGCTTACCTCGCCCTCGCCCTCACTCTCTCTCTCTCTGTCGCTCTGCCCCGCAGCGGGCCTATCGGGGTTCCCTAGCGGGGTTACCTTAACCTTGTGGTCCGGGAAGGTGGTGGATCCCTTTTTAAGAGCAACACAGGAAGTTTGCTAAAGGCACAGAAATGATTTATTAATCTTCTGGCAAACACTCATCACAGACAAACAAACATTTGACAGCAAGCTTGAGGGTTCTGGCCCACCCTGGGGGCCCAAGTGGACTGGGTGAGGGGTGTGGCAGGTGCCCAGAGAAAAAATCTCTGGGCTCCAGATTCCAGGGACAGAGCCACATCCCCTCTTCTCCCTGCCTGGCCTCGGTCAGGACCCCTGTCACCGGCAGACAGGGGTGACACCAGAGGGGTCACTGAAACAGGCCTGCATGTGGGCTGCCTCGTTCTGGGCTCAGGGCCATGAAGACGTGGCCAGGGCCATGGTGAGGACATGGCCAGGGCCACGGGGAGGACATCACAGCCCTTAGCACTGTCTGTAGACACAGCAGAGTCCCTGCCAAGGCTTGCAGTGCACTGACCGCCATGGGCTTCTGGCCCCTTTGGTCAACAGGTGTGTGCGTCCAGCCAGGAAGCCGGGGAGGGGGCACTGACGTCCCAGCTGGCGGCTGCGCCCCACCCCCCAGGGCAGGAGGCAGGCTCCTGTGTGGCTCCCTGACCACAGGGGGCCTGGCGGGCCTGCATTGGTGCAGAGGTGGGTGCCGAGGGCCCGGCTTTGCCACCTGTCCTTCCAGCTGGACACCTGTGTGAGCTGCCACCATCCGGCCCCCTCTAGACGCCGTGGCAAGGCCTCAGGGTCAGGCTAAGCCAGCAGGGAAAGGCTTGGCTGCAGAGAAGGGGGGGTCCAGGGAGCCACCCTCTGGACTCCGGCTCTCATGGATGGCGGTCACTCCCTCCCCAGTGTGCCGGGTCTGTGGGTGTGGTCTTTGAGGACTGGAGCGCTGGGTGTCCCCACCCAGACGTGTCCCTGTGTCCTTGTGAGGGTGCAAAACCCCCAAGTGAACGTTTACGTCATCCGCTACTTCCTTTCTAAGGGGAGAGGGGCGGGTCCACGGGGCGGGGGTGCTCAGGCCTGTGCTCACTGCTGGGGAGGGGGCTCTGGTTCACAGCCCCTGCCGAGGGTCATCGACTCAAGCCAGGACGGATGTGCACGGCGGTCGGCCATTGTCATACGTGGGAGGCGGCCCTGGCGCACACTTGAACCTGGGGCCGCGCCCTCCCCCACGCACACACAGCTCAGTGTTTGCACACGCACTGCCCTGTCCTGGGAAGGACCTGCCCCGCGTCCTGCTCCTTCCCCCTCTGCTGCAGGACGCTCCCTGGCTGGCCCAGGGGGACCTGGGCCTGGGGACATCGCAGCTGCACGGGCGCCTTGCCCGGGGCTAAGCTGAGCCAGTGCTGCAGCCGGAGGCTGGGTTCTGCAATGCGCCCATTTTTACAGAGCGGGGCAGCAGCGCTCCCTGAACCTCATCTCTCCCCTCCGGGTGCCAAGCTGCCCTCCCACGTGACCCACGCTGAGTGGCTGTGGTTGGAAGTCCCCCAGATAAGCACCTGCTCCTTGCCAAGAACCCAGAGAGGAGAAGCCAGTGCTGGTGACCCCCTGGAAACCGCACGGCCAGGGACAGCGGGGTGACTGTTGATGGCACGTTCCAGCCACGGCACAGCCCACTCCTGGGCCCAAGTGCTCCTGCTGGAGCCCACCGGCTTCGCCAGGCCCCCGGCTCCCTAGTGAATCTGACACAGGAGAGTGGAGCCTCCCTCCCCAGAGAGCTGCAGGCAAAGCACCGAACCCAGGTCCCAGGTCCTGTGTGGTCTCGGCTGACCTGCGCCCATCTCTCCCCGCCCGAGAGGGCCCGCTCCTCCCAGCGCGAGCCCTGGGGGACCGGGACCCCGAGAGACCGGCCCCCTGGGTGGTCATGGGCTGGGCCCTGGCCGTACTCACATACTGTTGCTTCTTATCAGACAGCAACCTGCTCATCTCCTCCCGCTCCCTTTTGATTTCTGTTTCATCATAGTAAAATTCTCTGACAGTGAACCTTCCAACGACAAAGCCAGGGTCACTGAGCAGCTCTGAGCAGAGCAGAAACCCCGCCCACCCAGGGGAGGCAGACCAGAGACCCCACTCCCACCCCCACCCAGGAGAGACAGACCAGAGACCCCCACCCCCACCCAGGAGAGACAGAGACCCCCACCCCCACCCAGGAGGGACAGACCAGAGACCCCCACCCCCGCCCAGGAGGGACAGACCAGAAACCCCGCCCACCCAGGGGAGGCAGACCAGAGACCCCACTCCCACCCCCACCCAGGAGAGACAGACCAGAGACCCCCACCCCCACCCAGGAGAGACAGACCAGAGACCCCCACCCCCACCCAGGAGGGACAGACCAGAGACCCCCACCCCCACCCAGGAGGGACAGACCAGAGACCCCCACCCCCGCCCAGGAGAGACAGACCAGAGACCCCACCCCCACTCAGGAGGGACACACCAGAGACCCCACCCCCACCCAGGAGAGACAGACCAGAGACCCACCCCCACCCAGGAGAGACAGACCAGAGACCCCACCCCCACTCAGGAGAGACAGACCAGAGACCCCCACCCCCACTCAGGAGAGACAGACCAGAGACCCCATCCCCACCCAGGAGGGACAGACCAGAGACCCCCACCCCCACCCAGGAAGGACCCAGAGCCTGCCCCCAAGGCCTCCCCCTCACTTGTTCTCTTTGGCTTTGACTTTGAAGTCGTCAATCACTTTCCGAAACAGAGTCACAGTGAAGAGGCCGCCCTCGCCGTCCTCGGCGATCAGCCTGTGGGGAGGGGCATTTGTCCACAGCAGACCCACACCCCCGGCCCAGGCCGACACCACGGCAGGGCCATCTCCTGTGTCACCTGCAGCCAACGAGGACTGGGAAGCACTCCCTGGCTTCCCTGCCTCCCGGCCGCCTCGTCCACACCCACTCCAGGCTGGGGCAGGCACGCAGAGGCCTGGGCTGTCTCCTGCCCGTTACATGCCGGTGGGGGGCGGGGGGAGTCAGCGGCCGAGCCCAGCTTGGCGAGCCTGGGACGCCCATGCCCGGCAGGCCGGCTCCAGCATCTCCCCTGTTATCTGCACACCCGGCTCCTCCTCCTCTGAGCTGCTGGCTCGTTCCCCCACCCACCCACCCACCCTGTCCTGTCCCCTGCACCCCAGGTTTAGCTCCTGATGACTGAGCGAGTGGCCCGGGAGAGTCCGCCCGGGCAGCAGGCACCCCAGGGCAGAGGCCTCCAGCATGGACTGGGGTGGGCAGGCCTGCGGGGGGCAGATGGGAGGGGGGGCGAGCAGGTTCTCCGGGCGGGGCTGCCTGCCTGGGGCTCCTTCTAAAATCTCTTAAAATCACAACCAACTTAGACATACGAAATAGTGTGAAGGATGATAAACACCTCGGTATCAGCCACTCCACTTAGGCTACCATGCAGTTCTCTCCCATGCCACCACACCCCACTCCTGGCGTGCAGGTCAGCATGATCGTGGCCCCGGGGTTCTGCCGTGCACTCGTGGGCAAGCATCCCCAAGGCACAGAGATCGGTCCCATCCCGTTCCCGGAACTGCCCCTCGCTGAACCTCCCAGCTATGTCCATTCCCCGGAGGACACAGCCAGGTCCTGTTCCCCTCCTTCCCCCCCTTCTTGGTGCCTGGCTATCCCCCAGGCAGGCACTGGAGCCGGGCACACACTGGGGACAGTCAGTGCCAGGCTAAGAATGCAGAGGGCACAGCAGAGGCCCCTGCGCCGGGTGCCAGCCGGGGGGGAGGAGGGGCAGTGGAGGTTGAAAGAGCAAGGCACCTGGCCCGGGCTGTGACAAAGGAATTCCGGGCCGAGAGACTCCAAGGGCACAGGTGCAGGGGAGCCCCCCGTCTCCCCCCACCCCGCGCACCACCCTGCTCATCAGCAGACCTGGGCCCCACTTACTTGGTCGACCGAGGGACCACCATGTCCGAGAGGGACTCGTAGGTTTTCTGCCATTGTGAGTAGCTTGGCCTGCAAGAACACAGCCCTGTGCGGTGGTCCGGGCAGCAAGGGCCCGGGGCGCTGCTCACCCCTCCTACCCGAGGAGCTGACGGTGAGCAGGGAGAGCGCTCCCGACATCCCCGAGGCCCTGCAGCAGGACAAGCTCTGCCCAGGACGGCCGCAGGGCACGCACGGGAAGCATGAGGGAGGGGCTGAGTGCAGCTGAATTTGCTGCCCTGTGTGAGCCCTGACGAGCTCCCCGGGCAGGAGACCTCCCAGGCCGGCAAAGGGCGGCCTGCGATGCCCCAGGCCCACAGCAGGTGCGCAAAACATGGCTGCTTCTGCCACCACCACCCCGGACCTGTTACTGCCCTCACAGCTGCCAGCCAGGGGGCCCTGTGCAGAAGCGCCTACTTCCCAGAGGTTAGGCCAGTGGGGGCTCCTCTTCCTCACTGCCCCAGACACAGAGAGCAAGGCTGTGGCCAGGCCCGTGTCCCCCGCCCTTCCTGGCCCACGTACTTGGGGACGATGACCAGTAGCGTGATGAGATACTCAGAATCCAGCACAAAGTCCTCCTTGCACACGATGTCGCTCAGTGTCCGAGTGAACAGGTTCCCCCTGGAAGGGACCGGGAACCAAGCCTGTGGTCAGCCCAGGGGGACACAGCACCGCGCCCACACCCACAAGGCCCAGGCACGGGGGCAGGAGGGTGTGTAGGCTGGAGCCTGGGAGAGGCGGGGACTCCCCCATACAACGGTCCTCCCTGGCCCAGCCCCGCTGCTGCCCCCCTCCCCTCCTGGGAGAGAGCTTGGCAGGGCCTCTGGCGCTCTCACCAGTCACCAGAGGGGCTGCAGAACCCAACACCTGCGTGCCCTGCCGTGCCCCGGTGCCAGCCACCAGCTGCCAGCAGCGGGCAGGCGGCTCCAGCTCCTCGGGTGTCAGCTCACGGCCTCAGCGGAGATGGCCCCAATAGAGCCCCGTGTCGCTTTACAAGCCTGCGGGTCCCGCAGCCAGGGGACACCCGCCCGAAACAGCTCTGCACAGGCTCGGCAGGCCTGGCCCGAATCAAGGTCATGGCCTCGTTGGCATGGGGCATGGGGCATGGTGTGCAGCCCTTCAGCTGCCACTCACAGACACCTACAGGGAGCGTGTGTGCCCGTCGCTGCCGGCGCTGCACACAGTATTCGCACCCAGCAGCACACGGAGCCTCCCCGGGCAATGGTCCCCATGCGCTCACCCAAGACCACAGGAACAGTGCAATCCCAGCCCCCAGAGACTGTACTCCTCTCCCATCCCCTGCCTGCACCGCCACTGGGCGGCCATGCACAAAACCCACAGAGGCTGCCGCGGGCACGGGCCACCCTGTGATGTGTGCATTTCCTCCATGCCCCCAGCGCGAGGCCCCTGCCCGTGAATGGGCCATGAGCGATCGTTAAGCTCTACACGTGCACACACTGTAACTGACTTCTCCTTTCTACCCATGGGGCTCGGCACACAGCCCCACCCCCACCCCGTCCCGAGCAAAGAGGGGGATGAGGCGCCCGCCCCTCCTTGTATGCGCCCCTCACTCACTCACTCACTGCGTGCTCAAGAAATCAACTAAAGTGAGCGCAGACCACGGACAGACGAACAGAGCGATGAATGACCGGCAAGGAGAGGCCGGGCCAGGTGCCAGCTCTGGTGTCGGCCACTTCTAAGGACCACGATTTGGTGGTGCGGCCTCCATGCCTGACTGCCTATGCCGAGACTGCCATGTAGGACCCTCTGCCTTCCTCCCAGGCTGTACGGCTCACGCCACGCAGCTCTGATGAGAAGGCAGGTGGCCCGCTGCGAGGGTGCCTGTGAAACACATCTTTGCCCCCTGGATTTTAACTCTACACACATGGACTACAGGGTGGGTGTCCCTCGTCCAAAAGGCCTGGGACCAGAACGGAAGAAAGCGCGTCTCGGATAATTTTGAATGTGGGAATCTGTGTGCGTGCGTCACGGGAGATCTCGGGGGTGGGACCCGAGTCTGTGAACTCCATTAGGCCCCACGCACGCTGTACACACAGGACACAGCACCATCAGCGCACCTGCGAGCTGCCCGCAGCCCAGCACACGGGGTCGAGGTGGAATTTTCCAGTTGCCGCGTCGTGCGCATGCTCAGACTGTTTCAGGTTTTGGAGCACGTCACGTTTCAGATCTCGGACTAGGGATATTCCATCAGGACTTGCACACAAGGCGGCTGGCCCCCCAGCTCTAAGAGGGACGCACAGCAGGGCACCTGCCAGGTGACGCCCTGCACCCACAGCGTGGGCAGTCCGAGGGCGCGCAGCCGGCTCTGAGCTCCCCGGGCTGCCCCTCTGGAGAGAACCTTCAGGAACCAACCTCAACAACCAGACCCGAAGGTAGGGGGCGCTCAAGAGCTCCTCCACGCCAACCCCACCCTGCCCGGGCCCTCCAGCCTCTGCAGCAGGAGCTCACGCGGCTGCTGCTCACATACCTCCTCCAACAGGGCGCTCACTACCTGCCTCATCACAGAGCACGCTTGCTCCCGATACCCCCGCCCCTTGCTGACAGGGCTGTCTGCCCGAGCACCCGGCTCCCCCTCCACGCGGCGGCTCTCAGCCAGCTGGGGAAGGTGCCCGGGTCCCTGAGGCTGCTGTGACCCGGCGGCAGAGCCCACCGTGCCCCCTGCTCCGCACCAAGGGCTAGGTCCTGACGTCGCCGCCGTCGGCAGCCTCTCCATAGAGCATCCACCACGAGGAAGACCCGGGGCAGCGCCTCGGGCGTTCTGGATGGGTGGGGGAGGGGGCTCTGGGACCAGCAGCACCGCGTTCTCCACCAGGCACACACAGGGTGGTGTGACCGCCCGTCTGCCCGCCCCACGCGGCTCTGTCTCGCTGTCACGCTCACGTGTGGGCACGCACTCCCGGGCCGCCCAGGGAGGGGAAAGACGAGCAAGGCCAGCTGGGGAGGCAGCGGGGACGCGGATACGCACATGGACTTCTTCTCCAGGTTCTCCAGCGTGGTCTTCAGCGCGCTGTAAGCGGCCGTCCGGGACTTCAAGTCCGCCTCGATCTGCGCCAGTTGCTGCGTGGGAAAGCAGACGCCCCTGGCCACCGTGAGCATGGCGGCTGCTATGGAGTTTCGCCGAGCGGCGCTGCTGCTCACGAGGCCCCGGCTGTCGGCCTGCAAGGGCACATGGCCCCACCCTCCCCCAGACGGTACAGCCCCCAGGCCCACAGTCAGCCCGCACGCGGGGAGGGCCAGTGTCGCCACTTTTGGGTGAGCTTGGCTAGGCTCGCATGCCGAGTTCCGCCTCCCCCTGACCCTATGTGATCAGGGCATCCCGCGCCCTCCACACCTCGCCCCCTGGGCTCTGCCGGGGCTCTCCACACCTCGCCCCCTGGGCTCTGCCGGGGCTGGGGCGGCTCAGCTGACCCCAGTGCATGCTTCGCCCGCGTCCCCAGGCTCGGTCCTTGCAGCTGGAGGCAGGCACCACGTGGATGCGGCAGGGGCCCCTGCTGGCTCTGGAGGCCCAGGGTGCAGGGAACACCTTCCAGACGCCCCTCCCGCGGGCTGGCAGGGGCAGTGAGAAACCACTCGAGTCCAGGCTGCAAGCAGGGCTCCGCGCTCACTGGCGGGCCAGCCTCTGGTCCCTGCCTGCCCAGCTGAGGGTCACAGCCAGGGTGAGCACCAGTGACAGAACACCGTCCAACAGGCCCAGCTGGGGGAAGCCCTCAAGACAGCAGCAGGTGTCAAGAGTGACAGCCGCGAGTGCCCGGAAGCCAGTGCCACTGAGAGCCCCGCCCCCAGCCCCAGCTGTTGGGGCTCCAGCTTCGACAGCAGACCCCTTCCCTAAGGCACTGGTCCCAAAGCGCAGCATCCTGGCAGGGGACGCTGTGCAGGCCAGAGGCCAGCGTGGGAGAGGCCTATCCACCCCCACGGGCTCTGCAAGGCCCTCCTCAGCCTGGAGGCAGCTCCGCCACAGACGTCACGATGCACAGCAACAGAGGCTGCTGCTGCAGGAAGCTCTGCAATCACTGGGTGAAAACAGGCCAGCGGGCAGGAGCCAGGGCGCAGGAGCCCAGCAGTCAGGAGCCCAGGGCTCAGGAGCCCAGCAGTCAGGGGCCCCGAGTGCAGGAGCCCAGGGCACAGGAGCCCAGCGGTCAGGAACCCAGCAGTCAGGAGCCCAGGGCGCAGGAGCCCAGCGTGCAGGAGCCCAGCGGTCAGGAACCCAGGGCACAGGAGGCCAGCGTGCAGGAGCCCAGGGCACAGGAGCCCAGCACTCAGGAGCCCAGGGCACAGGAGGCCAGCACTCAGGAGCCCCACGTGCAGGAGCCAGCGTGCAGGAGGGCAGCAGTCAGGAGCCCAGGGCGCAGGAGCCCAGCGTGCAGGAGGCCAGCGTGCAGGAGCCCCGCGTGCAGGAGCCCAGCGTGTAGGAGTCCAGCACTCAGGAGCCCAGCGTGCAGGAGCCCAGGGCACAGGAGCCCAGCAGTCAGGAGCCCCGCGTGCAGAGCCCGCGTGCAGGAGGCCAGCGTGCAGGAGCCCAGCAGTCAGGAGCCCAGGGTGCAGGAGGCCCATGTGCAGGCCAGCATGCAGGAGCCCAGCAGTCAGGAGCCCCGCGTGCAGAGCCCGCGTGCAGGAGGCCAGCGTGCAGGAGCCCAGCAGTCAGGAGCCCAGGGTGCAGGAGGCCCATGTGCAGGCCAGCATGCAGGAGCCCAGCAGTCAGGAGCCCCGCGTGCAGGAGCCCCGTGTGCAGGAGGCCAGCGTGCAGAGCCCGCGTGCAGGCCGGCGTATTCCATGGCAGGGTCCACTCTGCCCCGGCAGACACGGACGCCTTTGGAGGGCACCGGGCGAGCAGAGGTGCAGGGCTGGGCTCAGGAGGCCGTTGGCGTTTTCACCTGCACACATGCAGGCTCTGATTGCTTTGGTAAATAAGACCTGTTATTGCCAACGCGCCACTGTGGATGATGAGGGTCACGGGGAGGCAGAGAGACCGCATGGATCTCACGTGCCCTTCATGATGCTTGTCCCACGGGTGACTTCTTACTGCACACCCAGACCACACCAAAACACAGCTACGCTACAGCCACACTGCACATCACAACCAGCCATGCACACTGCACCCTACAGCCACACTCATATCACAACCACACACACTGCACCCTACAGCCACATACACATTACAACCAGATTACACACTACCCTACAGCCACACTCACATCACAACCAGCCATGCACAATGTGCCCTACAGCCACACTCCCATCACAGCTACAACTTACATTGTACTCCACAGCTCTATTATACCACATCCCAACTAGTCTGTAACACACTGACTCTACTATATTCGACTACATCAAACTATGCTGTCTCACCCACTCCAGCTAAGCTACAACTACGCGCTATGTATACTAGCACTATACAGTGCACTGCACACCCATTCTGCACCACATCCCACTCTACAGCTGTGCGTACAACTACACACTGCACTCAGCTGCACTGTATCAGTGTAGGATACCACCCCACAACTAAGCCACAGAGTAATCCTCAGAGACAGACAGACAGAGACACAGGGACAGAGAGAGACAGAGACAGAGAGACAGGGACAGAGAGACAAAGAGACAGAGAGACAGAGACAGAAAGACAGAGATAGACATAGAAAGAGACAGACAGAAACAGACTGATACAGAGATCTCTCTTGGAAACAGGACCCAAGTCTAAGCATGAAACTCAGCTATGTTTCACAACTCACACACATGAAGGTGACTTACACACTTTTAGTGCACCTGCGCTCTGAATGCAACCTATCACATGAGGTCAGGGGTGGAGTTGTCCACTCACCAGGTCAGGTTCACTCCCAAATATTCTAATTTATTTGATTTTGGGTATTCAGATTAGAAATTGTGTGCCTGCACTGCACTAAGCAACTGTACTGTACAACCACGCAAGGTTACACTGCACACACGGCCAGGCCACACACACACACTTACCACACACCGTGTACCTGCACTGCACAGCTACACAATTCCACTGTACAACCACACAAGGTTACACCACACGCACGGCCAGGCCACACACACACACTGACTATACTGCACCACACAATGTCAGAGTAGTCTCAGAAACAGTGAACGTGGGTACAGTGTGCAGATCTTTTTAAAGTAAGACCTTCATTTTCTTTTATAAAAAGTAAAACAAAAAAAAGTCACTGGCTCCCCTCACTCCCCTGGCTCACCAGAGCAGTGAAAAGCTGCCCGGGTGCCGGAGCCAGGCAGGCAGTGACGCGGGGCCCTGGGACCACAGGGGCTGGAACCTGACGCCAGCCCCAGTTCTGCCCGGCTGGGTGACCTGATGCGAGCTCTCTGACCTCTCTGGGCTCCGTGCCAGAGAATGGCGTGAGATCACGCAGGGATTAGGGGCAGATTTAGTCATCTTTTGCAGAAAACAAAGCTGAAGCCGGGTTGTCACGCACGTGCGCCTGGCGCACCAATGCCCCGGAGCCTCTGCCCCGCTGCGTCCGAGAGCTGGCTCCGCACTGCACCAGGGAAGCAGGGCCTTGCACACAGCACAGCTCGGGGCTCTGGTCCCCACGTCCCACCTTCCTGGGCCAGAAAACCCCGGGGCACGTCACCAAGCCCTCAGCACTTCCTCACCTGAAGTCGGGGGAGGTGAGTGGAGGGAGGCTGCCCCGCATGGCTCTGGCTCCAGGCACGCCTGGAGCGCGATCAGAACCCGCGCCTGCCTCCCTTGCCTGCTGTCCTGCCAGTCACCCTGGGCACGCCACAGACAGCAGCAAAGCCTGATCTCCTTACTCCCCAAGGCGACCATGCACTCTGCGAGGGGGGCAGGATGTCCTCCATGGGGCCTGGCCTCCCTGGGACTCAGAGCACGCCGGGCCACCCACAGAGAATCCTGTACTTCCGGATCCAGGGTGGATGGGCACAGCGCCCTGCCAGGAACCACACCTGGCACAGGTGCCTTCTGCAGTCACTGCCCGGTTGTTCCAGGAGGGGCCAGCCCCTTGGGCGGCACCCAGATTCCCCGGACTTCCGGCCCCTCTCTCATCCCGAGACTGGAATGGGACCCAGAGCTTCTCCCGACCCGCCAGCCACACTCAGGAGAGAACACAGCACCTTCGTGCTGGCCCTCTGAGACGCTCTCCCCACCACAGACCGGCAGCAGATGCCCAATCACAGCTCAGTGTGCCGCGGCAGTGGGGCCAGGCCATCGGGAGGACGGGGAAGTCCCCAGGGACCCGGGCCATGGATCAGCAGACAGCAGCCTGGGGAGCTGGCTCACAAACTCCACTGAAGCGAGCGCTTTTGCTGATAAAGTCACCCAGGGGCGGGGCGTCAGGTTCCCGAGGGCAGAGCAGCGCGGGGCCGAGCGCCTGTGGGCGCCAACACTGGGGGCTCAGCCCCCCGACCCCCACAGTGGGGAGTGTCCTGGAGACCAGCCTTCTGGGTGGTAGGCACGAGAGGGGTGGGGAGGCTGGGCGACCCCCTTCCTGTCCAGGGCTGCCCAGAAACCCACAGCCCTGACCTCGCCTGGGCCACAGAGGGAGGCCCCAGCACAGAAACCCGGAGGCCCCAGCACAGCCAGCTCTGCTTCTGCGGCACCAGGGGCCACCCTCCATCCCTCTCACCTTTGCCAATGTGTCCACCACGCCCGCCAGTGGCTGCTTTGCAGGGTACTTGGCCATGTCCCACTCGAAGTGAGTCACGAAAGACGTCAGGTCAACTGGAAGAACAGAGACACGGTACAGCCCATGAGTGCAGCTCTCCACGTCTCCCTAGACCAAACCGCGAAGCCCTGGGCCCCGCGTCACCGCCCACCCCAAGGAAGCCATCAGTTAATGCCGGTGTTCAGACCTGGGGCTCCGGAATGGCACACACACCCCAGGGCGGCAGAACTCATGCCCCTCTGCAAACCACAGCAGCAGACAGAGCCAGGGGCCCTGGAGCAGGTGCACCTCGGTGCCCCAGGTGCTCCCCCCGGGGGGCTGCCACCCTAGGCTCTGCTGTGTGGACAACTGTTGCCTTTGTGCCAGCCGCTTGGTCACACTGCCCGGTCTCATGGTACCCCAAAGGCAGGCTGGAGATCCAGCAGCCAGCCTCGAAAACCACACAGCCCAGGGCCCGTCACGGAGGCCACCGCCTGCAGGAGGAGCGTCCCCTTGACTCCTGAGGCCCAGCACCAGGCAGTTCCAACGTGCACTGCGAAGCCCCCGCACGCATCGTGAACAGCAAAATGCTGCTGCTGCGACGGCGTGTGCCAGCGGGCGTGGACGCGCACTTTCCAGTGTGTGTCCTCCTGCTACCCAAGAGCTCCCGGGGCCCAGCCCCGCTTGGCTTCTGAGATCAGACAAGATGGAGCGCGGGCTGGCTGCTGCTACAGCGCCAACTCAGCCCGAGTCCTCACGTCTACAGAGAGCACAACGCACTGCTTCCCTTTTGCCCATTTCTCTCACCAAAAACAAAGCCCCTGCCGTCCTCGGGGTGCTTGGGGCTCTGTGTGGGGAAGGAGCGAGCGGAGTTGAGGTCAGACACACACGACACTGGACGGACCTCGGGCAGGCGAGGAACCAGCGCAGCCCCTCGCCTGAGCCACGGGGAGCTGTCTCGCCGAGGGACTGAGCTCAGATTCGCCCCACCACTTTCAGAGCGCGTCCCCGAGCCGGCTGCCTTCCTCGTTCCCTTCAACGTGCCTGCTCCAAGGCCAAGAGGCGACGTGGCAGGTGTTGAGGGCTACAGGAGTCCCCAGAAGCCCCCCAGCCCTGCAGGGACCACCATCCCGTCCCGGGTGGGTTTCTGGCCCCAGCTGTGTGCCAGCCATGCTTCCCAGCCCGTCGCCGGGCACACGGCAGGGGACGGTCACCGTTCCTGACAGGCAGTCACCCTCACCATGTGTCCACCCTGCTGGACAGAGGACACCCTCCCCCACCCAGCTTCAAGCTCTCACAGTCTACTGGAAGACAGCTGGGCAAGCGCCAGCCTCCAGCAAGCCGGAGAGCTGGCGACAGACAGGGCGTGTGGGGAACCAGGGAGGGCGCAGGGTGGTACCATGGCAGCCCCCAGAGACTGAAGGCGAGGGAGCTACCCAAGGGGCCTGCGATGCAGGCAAGGAGCACTGGCAGTGCCATGGGCCCCAGGAGTCACCGGGGGAAGCTGGTGGAACGGGCGGGTAGACGGAGGCTGGGCAGCAGGGCAAGCACGGGCCGTGAGGGTCGCACCTGCAAGTTATCCTACACGAGTGCCAATGCAGGACCCCAGCCCCTCAGCCCCGTTACGTGCCAAGAGCAGGACACAGATGGTGCTGACGGGGTCACCATCCAAGCCCCCAGGGCCAGCCAGGCAGCGAGGGGCCGGCCAGTGGCACTGGTGCTCACAGAAGCCGAGGAGGCTGTGGGAGGGGGATGTGGAGCCGATGGGGTGCTGAAGCAGCCCTGGGGAACGTGGAGGGAGGACCCACCGAGCAGCCTGGTGACACCCAGCTCCCCAGGCTGAGTGTCTGGGGGGGGAGGGGCAGAGGTGAGAAGAGGTGAGCTCAGCGTGCGGCAGGCCAGGGTCTGGCGTGTGGGCAGAGGGGAACTGAACAGGACTTGGAGGGGACCGACCTGGGACAGAACCATCCACCCGAATGGCCTCGCGAAAACGGACGGTGGTGGCACCCGGCAGTCTCGGAGGGCACATGGCCACTTCCCGAGGCCGGGACACGCGAGTCACCCGGGTCAACTTCCTGCTCGGCTCCGCTCAGAGCCCTCATCACTGCCACTCTGCGGATGGGACGCCCTGGCACACGGCCATTACGTAATCGCCACCACAGAGCGCGACACGCACAAAGAGCCCTCACCCTGCCCGTCCGCCTGGCAGAAGGGCACGGCAGGGCTGCAAGGGGACACGGTCGCTGCCCTCAGCCGTCCCTGCTCCAGAAACTTCCCAGATTTCCCAGGCTGGGAGAGGACTGGGTTTGTACATTTACGTCACAGGCTCTGGGATTAGGGCTGAGTCAGCGCCTGTGGACTGGATACCCCTAGGGCACTGGGGGCGGAGTCCTGGTGCTGCAGGACTCATGCCCTCATAAACAGGGGCCCCAGAGCTCAGCCACACTCTGTGTCCACACGCACACGCCCAGGGAAGGCCGCTTGAGGACACGGCGTGGGCTGGGGACCTGGTCCTGAGCCTCCGGCCTCCGGAGCTGTGCTGTTCAGCCCTCACAGTGCACGGCGTCCAGGGACAGCGACGAGCAGGCGGAGGCAGACTTGGGTCAGCCTTGCAGTTGCTACCCAGCTGGGGACGTGACATCGTGGACGGACTCGGGCCCAGGGAGATGGCCAGAGGACAATGGGGGCTGCGGTCAGAGGCTGGACAGGAAGGCCATGAGGGGCCCTCCTGCGGCAGACCCACGTGCTGAACCCCACCGTGGGCAGGCGCAGGCCAAGGCCCAGTCCACCTGCCAGGGAGCCGGCTCTGGGCAGCCTTGAGGGCAGGTGTGGGCCTCCTCCATGAAGCCCCCACCCCAGCCAAGTCATGCTGGGCTCCTCGCTGCCACCCCCACCCCTCAACACCCAGGGCGCAGGGAGCCCGGCTCCTCTGGGAGGTCCCTGAGCTCTGTGACACTGGGACTCTGCCCGGCCACTGCTGAGCCTCTTGAGGGCACCACTGGGTGTCCCACAGCCCGCCACGGTGCCCTGCGAGGAGACGTGCCCAGAAAACGCGCAGGACCTTGACAGAAATCCCGGTGACCAGGTGACCAGGGCGACTGGCACCATGAGGCTGCAAAATCCGACCACGTCCTCGCCTCGTGCACTCCACCGTCCCAGCTCCTCATGGCGTTGCCCTCCCCTCCAGGAGCCCTGCCGGTGCCACTGGACTCAGCCGGCCTGCTGTGTGGCACATGAGCCCGGGCCCTACCCTGTGAGCTCCTGGAGGGCCCGGCTGCACCTGTGTCACATCAGCTCCCAGGGCCCAGCACGCGCTCCGTCCGACCCATGCGCCAGAGGACATTAGACAAGGCAGGAGGCTCCTGAAACCCTGAGGTTTGTGACTGTGGTCCCCCCTCCCTTCCTCTTCTCCTCACCTCTGCTCCTACGTCCCTGACCCCAGCACCAGTGCCAGACACCGAGCCTTGGCCCGGGGCACACACGCAAGGGCCCTGCACCTGCGCACACTGGTGCCGTGGGGCGGAACACTGTGCACAGACACCTCGGCTTCCCCCAGGCTCCCTGTACCTCCCAGCCTTGCAGCTCTCTCTCCTCTGCCCAGAAAGGACAGACCCGGCCTCCTGCGCCCAGGCTGGAGTCGGGAAGGCAGGGCCAGAGCAGATGGCCTGGGAGAGCGAACCATGACTCAGACCAAAACCAAACACGCCGGGCACAGCCCGCACCTGTTGAGCAACCACAGGCTCAGGTGAGAACCCAAACAGGGCCAGGCGGCAGAGCGCAGGGCCGAGACCCGCCGCCCTGCCAGCCCCAGAGGCCACGGCGACGTCCGGCTCAGCAATCCACCACCACTGCCCTGCTCCACGCTCAGCGGGAGGCAAAGGACGCAAAAGGAAGGAGCCCAAGGAAACCCGAGAGCCGACACGGTGACCGCCGCTCCGTCCACGCACAGGTGGGCGAGGGAAGCGGACAGGAGACTCGCCAAGGTCGGGGTGCACGCTGCTCCATGACGACAGCACCCCAAACCGCCCCGCAAGACCCCACCTGCAGGGGGCACCGAGGCCCCCTGGGTGACCCTGTCAATCACTAGGTCATGGGCGGTGTCCTCCAGGTCACACGGGGCAGCTCTGGAGAGGCCTCTGGCCTGCAGGACTTCTCAGAGCCTTGCCCAAGCCACCGTGCACTGGGCTGGCACAGGTGCCGCCGCCGCCGCCCCCGGCCTTTGCTCGGGGCTGGTTCACAGAGCGCCCTCTGGAAACTCCCGCCTTGGAAGTCGCTGGCACCCACCGTGCAGGAGGTTCCCTCCCCTGAGAACAGAGGCGGCCGTCTCTCGGGGTTGGAGCCACGTGCCTGGGGATAGCTACCACGCAACAGCCACGTCCAGCTCTAAGGGGCATGCATTTAGAGCAGAAGTGTGAGTACGGCGGCCACTCTGAAGATTTATTTACTTATTTGAGAGGCAGAGTTACAGAGAAAGAGGGAGAGTCAGAGAGGAAAATCTTCGACTTACTGGTTCACTCTCCAAATAGTCACACGGCCAGTGCTGGGTCAGGAGCTTCACCTGGGTCTCCCACAGGGGTGCAGGTGCCCGAGCCCTTGGGCCATCTTCTGCTGCCCTCCCAGGCGCATCAGCAGGGAGCTGGATTGGAAGTGGAGCAGCCGGGACTTGAACCAGCACCCTGTGGCCACTCTTAATGTAAATTTCCATGCCCCAAATACCAGGCTTTTTTTTTGTAGAGAAGTGGCCCTGGGTTCAAGTTCTGGCTCTACCCCTGACGTGCACCTGGGAGGCAGTAGTGATGGCTCAGGCACTGGGTCCCTGCTGACCATGTGGGAGGCCTGGGTTGAGTTCTAGGCTCTCGGCTCCCACCTGACCTTGTCCTGCTTGGGTGTTTGCAGAGTATCTCTTCCTGTTTTTTTCTGCCTTTCAAATAAAATGCAAATAAGCAGATTTCTTAAAAAGACTATTTGTTTTGAAAAGGGAGGAAGGATGGGGGGGGGCATGAATGTGCTCACCAGCAGCTCAGCCCAGGGCCCTACAAGTCACCTGCTGGGAGACAGGATCAGCTGGGCCGTTGGACAAAGCTTCTATTAGGAGGAGCAGTGAGCGCCAGTGTGACAAAGAGCTCACGTTCGGGAAGGCACTGGGAACTTCCCATCTGTAAAGACTTCTCTTTGCCCTAGGGTCACCCCTGTTTAATGCATCCATTGGAGCAGCCTGGAAAAAACCCCGAAGCAAACGGCCCCCTTCTCCCAGCCCCACCTGGACTGGCCACAGTGAAGGTACAGCACACAGGACAGCCTCAGAGCAGGCAGCAGGGAGCCTGGGGACAGTCGTCCGGGCGAGGACGCAGAAGCTCCCTGGGGAACCCCGCAGAGCCAGGGTGCTCATGATTGCAGGGCTGCCTGGGGGAGGCAGGGCGACCCAGAAAGACGGGCAAGGGAACAGCACCCTGGCCGTCTGTGCCGTACGGGTGCGTGATCAAGCTACGAGGTTGTTACTTGAGAAATTGCCGCAGCCCCGAGACCCGACCGGCACCCAGCCTCCCGGGGACATGCAGGGTCACACCAAGCACGCACAGCAAGTGGGTCACACTGAGCGACACACGGCAAGCGGGCCCAACCTACTCTTTAGACATTTCATTTTCTCCTTCAGACCTGCAACACAAGAAGGCAGGGTTATCAGACGCAGGAAGCCAAGCTGAGACACGGGGGGCGTGAGCGGCAAAGCTGGCCAGATCGAGGCACCGGAGCCATGCAGGCGTAACCGACCCAAGACTCGGCAGCGCCACTGAGCTCTGGGCACTCAGCCCACTCAGCAGATCAGGGCGGGCTCCGCCAGGGCTGCAGCCGGGTGAGCGCCAAGTGGCTGGGCCTGGTGTCCCCCAGCGGCCGTCAGCACCTACCTCCATTGGCCAGGAGGTTCTCTTGGACTTTCCCCTTCGAGTCCTCCAGGACTTCCACCACGCTCTGAGCCATTCTCTTTATGAGGCTTGGGAGAGAAGAGAAGGAGCCGGTCAGAGTGGGAAGTGGGCAGGGACGCCACCGTGGGGGGCTACTTGGCAGCGGGGTGTGAAGAGGCCGCACACACGAGGAACCAGTAGTTCCACTTCTGGGAAACCGGCCCGAGGAAGGAGGGCAAACAGAAAAAAGCGCTCTGAATAAGGAGCTGCCCTCGGCGGCACAGCTGCTGCGAGTCGCAGCGGGGGAACCATGGGAAAAGGGGGCCACGGCGGGACGCGGGGGCAGCCGTGGAGGACGGGCGACAGAGGGCCCGATGCCAGGGACGAGCTTGCACCAGGACACGCAGTGGAGGACACCAGGACGCGTGGAAGCCGTCTGCCTACCCCACACCTTCTCACGGTGTTTCCAATCAGAAAAAGGAAACTTTCGGTCCCCAGGAAACATACGGGAGGCCTCAGAAAGTGCGGGGAAAGCCCGGCACAGGGCTTGGAGGCACCACGGCTCAACTTGGCATGACGTCACCGATCACCAATTGCTTGGTTTGGGCCAGGTTGCTTCGACTTCTCCGAGCCTCGGTTCTCCTGTCTAGAAAGGCCGGGTAGCACGCAGCGGGCGGGATTCCTGCCGATGCGCACAGCCGGCCAGGCCCCACTCATGTAAGAGCAAGAGAGCCTGCTCCAGGGCAGGGAGCTCGTCCATCAGAACCCCAACCGGCAAGCAGGGGAACCGGGAGCGAGGTCTGCGGAGTCGGAGGAGCCACAGCTTCGCCTCGGCCCCCTCGCCGCATCTCACAGCTCCCAGGAGGCTGCTCGGGTGTGCAGAGACTGGACGCAGGGCCCACGGTCACGGTCACCTAGTGTTGCAGGCACTGACCAACTGGCCACTGAGAGCACGGAGCCCAGGGGCCCTGGCTCTGACAGAGAAACTGAAGCAGAGAAGCCCCTCATAAAAGCAAGGAAGAGGGGCCGGCGTCAGGGCGTAGCTGGTTAAGCCGCCGCCTGCAATGTCCGCATCCCATCTGGGTGCCAGTTCGAGTCCCAGCTGCTCCACTTCCCATCCAGCTCCCGGCTAATGCACCTGGGAAAGCAGCGGGGGACGGCCCAAGTGCTTGGGCCCCTGCACCCACACTGGAGACCCAGAAGAAGCTCCTGGCTTCACCCTGGCCCAGCCCCAGCCATGGTGGCCATTTAGGGAGTGAACCAGCAGTTAGAAGAGATCTCCCTCCCCCTCTCTCCCTCTGCATTTCAAATAAATCTTAAAAAAATAGGAAGAGAAGGAGGGTAGTGACAAGCTCTCCTGATGGCAAAGTAATACAAGTTCACGGTCAGAGTCTGGAAAAACAAGTATATCATAGTTAACAAATGGACAACCACCCCTCCCCTCTCAGGGGAGCACACTGAGGGTCTCAGCACATTTCCAGAGACTTAGCACTTGCATGGGTCCCTTGAGGCGAGGTTGTTTTGTTTTTTCCTGCACCTATGAAGTTTCAAACATCCTTATACCGTTGTCCATTTAAATCTCACAAAAATCCCCAAGCGATTTCGCTTCATTTTATAGATGGGCAAGCTAAGGCCCAGAGAAGCCATCTGTGCACGCCCCCCAGATTCAGCCCGCACGTGGACTGCAGACGCCAGGTCTTGGGCACCAGGCCAGGCTGCGGTCTGGACCCTGTGGCCTGGCCTGCGTTTCCACGCCCACCGACGGGCAGCACTTCCTAGAAGGGCAGTTAACGGGCTCTCCTGAATCTCCGTGGCCTGGGCTTAGCTCATGCAGCGGCTGTGGACTTGACCTGATGCGTGTCAAGGACGGGGTCCCTGGGGGTTGGAGAGACACGCCAACATGTGCGCGTGCAGGACGCTTGGGGCACCGGCTGCAGGTTCTCTGCCCTCTGCCTCCCGGGGAGCTCCCAGAGATCAGAGAGGGCGAGAGAGTCCGGTGCCAGTAACCCCACTCCTCCCCCCAGCCTGAGGTCCCGCGCTGTCCCTCGTGGCTCTCCCACGTTCCTGCCACCTTGTGTGTCTGCACACGTGGACGGGTCCTTGTCAGACTGCCCTCCCATGCGTGCAGCCTGTTACTCGTGGAGCCCTGACTCCACGGCTGCACTGTGTTACTTCAGACTCCACACACGGGCGCCTCCGACGTGGCACCTGCGGCTTGGATGCTCCGGGCAAAGCAGAGCCCTCGAGCTCCCGGAGCTGCTGCCCGATGCTGTCAGCCATTCCTGTTAGGATCAGGGTGACACGGGCGAGCTGCCGGCTCCCGCTGCCCCCCCCCCCCAAACACTGCCCAGGAATCATTTGCTTCTGGTGAAGGCGGTCGGAGCTCTGGCCTCAACCAGTGTCCGACTCACAGCGGCTGCTTAGCAGTGTTTGTTGAATGAATAAACGAACCTTGCTGCCCTGGAGCTCCTACAATTAGACACATGCTTGTTTCTTTCCCACCAGACCTAAAGCAGAGCTCACGCGTCGTTTTGTCAGTGATTCTTTGCTGCTCCCCACCATCCTTTATTTTTAAGAGACAGAGTTACAGAGACAGAGGGAAAGGTCTTCCATCCACTGGTTCACTCTCCCAGTGGCTGCAATGGCCAGGGATGGGCCAGGGTGAAGCCAGGAGCTCCGTCCAGGTCTCCCATGAGGGTCCAGGGGCCCAAGCACTTGGGCCGTCCTCTGCTGCTTTCCCAGGAGTGTCAGCAGGGAGCTGGGTCAGAAGTGGAGCAGCCAGGACTCGAACCAGCGTTCATGTGGGATGCTGGTCTTGCAGGCTGCGGGTTAACCCTCTGCACTACAAACTCTGGCCCCTGGGAAGTATTAGCTATACCAAGAGTGGCCCCTTGGCGTGTGTACCACCCCTGGAACGTGCCAGAACATCACGGTCTTAGGAAGCTCAACTCCGAGAAAAATCATTTGTTTCACCTCCCAAAAACAGCATGGCCGCGGCTGGAGCGGTACCTAAGGCTGCCAGGCATCGTGGTGGTGCTGAGGTGGAACAATGTCCGCACAGAAAGGAACCGGAGACGCAACGCGCTGTTTTGGTTTTTCTTTTTTAGCTGAATGTATTTGAAAGTCAGAGTTAGAGGGGGAAGAGACAGAGGCAGAGGGATCCTCCATCCACTGGTTCACTTCCCCAGCGGCCAGAACAGCTAGGGCGGAGCCAGGCCAAAGCCAGGAGCTTCCTCCGGGTCTCCCAGGTGGGTGCAGGGGCGCACAGACTCGGGCCATCGAACACTGTTTTCCCCGGACCATGGGCGCGAGCTGGGTCGCAGCAGAGCGGCGCCCACGTGCGGCAGCTTCAGCTGCTCTGCCACAGGCCAGCCCCTCCACGCGCCGCGTGGGCCCCTTTCCAGGCGAGGACAGAGCGTCCTCCTTCCTTTCCTGCCCAGCGTTCCGTGGCACGGCCGCCGGGGCTGGGCCCTACTGGCGGCTGCTGGGCTGTGTCCACCTTACCGGGAGGCCCCGCACGCTCAGCGCACACGCACTCCCATCAACGCGGCGCGGGACGCCCGCTCTCCGGCACGAAGGCGCGTTACGCATTTTAATCCCCGCCAAGCTGATAGCGGAACACATCTCCCTGCGGCTCTGACCGCGTATCTTTGATCACCGGAGAAGCTGGACATCTCGTCTCGTGTTTTGGCCCCACAAAAGACCCTCTTCCTCCCTGTGGGGAGCAGGGCCCGTCCTTGGCTGATTTTTCTTAGCTGGCTTGTTCATCTTTTTTTACAACTCGATTTTAGTCATTGGCGTGAGCTCTGAGGGGGTTCGGAGACTCCGTTCCCGAGACGACACGGTGGGCAGACAGAGTGCACAAGGTCCCCTACACGGCTAATGGGACCCGGGTCTCAGGTCTGCAAGGCTCCGCGCTGGCCTTCAGGAACATTCTGGCGTTTTCCATAAAGCACTCTCCAGAAACGTCTCCACTGGACAAGATGTGCAAGTCACAGTTTTAATTTAAAAAGGGACGACAAACAATACGGGAGGACCTTGACCGTGCTGTCGGTTACACGGATGGACAGCCTGTCCACTTAAGATGGGCACATTTCACCAAGTATAAGTTTCAACTTGCTAAACCTTTTTTTTTTTTTTTTTAATTTATTTGGCAGGTAGAGTTACAGTGAGAGAGACAGACAGAAAGGTCTTCCATTCGATGGTTCACCCCCCAAATGGCCACTACGGCAGGAGCTGCACCGATCCAAAGCCAGGAGCCTCCTCCTGGTCTCCCATGTGGGTGCAGGGCCCAAGCACCTGGGCCACCCTCCACTGCCCTCCCAGGCCACAGCAGAGAGCTGGACTGGAAGAGGAGCAACCGGGACAGAACCCAGGGCCCATATGGGATGCCGGCGCCACAGGCGGAGGATTAGCCAAGTGAGCCACAGCACCGGCCTCATAAACATTTTTTTTTTAACGCCAGGAGGAAAAACAAATATTTTAGAATAGACACGAGTTAGAGCAAGTGGCCAAAGTTAAAATCTCCTGTAAGGAGAAAGGGCGATACATACCCCCTTACATACATAGCCTCCGACAAGACCGATTCCCCCTGTGGGGTGGGCGGTGGCTTTGCCAAGAGGGCCTACCCTGGGTCCAATCAGGAGGAAGCATCGGCAAGGTCCACAAAGGCAGAATTCGCGACGTAACTGGCCCTGCCCTTCAGAAACCAGAGCGTCACGGAAGTGCACGTCCGAGCGTGCGCTCCGCAAGGAGCGAGATCAAGGCAGGGCGACGCACTTCCAGGCCCACCAGCACGGAGAAAACCCGAGGGTGCCTTGCTGGAGAGCAATGCCGCGAGACGGTGGGGACGGCCACGCGGGCTCTGCGGACGGCGCGGCGGCGCCGCGTTCCTGGGCCGGTGGGACTGCGCCCTCGCGCCTCAGGAGACGCACGTCTGCCGTCTGCAGCTCCGGGGCGCAGGGGGACGGACAGACAGATGGCAGAAGGCAGGCGTGCAAAGCACACGGGAATTCTCTTCCCGAGTCTTGCAACTTTCGTGGGACTTGGAATCAGATCAAAATTAAGAGTTTAACAAGTATTGACCCCG